CTTTGCATAGAAATGTTTTTTTAATCAATACCGATATCTCATGCTGATTCACATTCCCTTACAGTAATACGTTTAACATGAAGAAAATTCCAATCCAAATCCTTAATACGCAACTGTGATAATGCCATTAAAGAAAAAGAAATCTGATATAGTACAGCAAATAAGTCAAATCCTTATACTGGCACATATTTTTTCATTATTTCATTTCCAGTAGGATTGATTTTTTTAATGTCTGTTGTCAATTAGCATATCATTTTCTTTTAGGATTTAAGTATTCTTATAAACTCTAATTATTGGCTTTAGATTTTTAATAAATAAGTAAAAACTTGCCTACCTCAAGATTTGCTTAATCTTTAGACAAAAACTTATGCTGTATTATATCTGTAGCTGGTATTTCATATAAAAGCAATGTACTCTATTTCAGTACATAGCAGATATATGTATTTATTATGTCCTTGAATGATATATATGTGTGTTTGAAAAAGAAAGAAAACCTTATCTGCGTGTTTGCTTTTTTCCCATGATTGTAAGTTAAAAGCAATCGATGCAAATGAAACGAACGAATAAGTACTTTATCATTATATGGCACAGAAATTACATAGTATCTACTTACTGTTTTGTGATTTCTCGATTTATTTTATTAGTTTATTTTAATAACAACAGCGAGAAAATAACAAACAACAGAAAAGATTTATTTTTTTTGGTTTTTTTTTGCTCTAGCACAAAAGAAATTGCCTTTCGTACAAACGATCTAGTTATATTTACTTTCTATATTTTTTTGAAAAGAATTACGTTAAATAAAACACAAAAAGAAATACAGAAGAGAAAAGAAAAAGAAAACTTAACAATGTCGAACGATATTATTAATTAATCAAGTAGTCAGATCCAATGGCTTAGATGAAAATAATGAAGAAATAGTAAATAACACTACAAACACACAATGACCAAAACCCCCATTCATTGAATTGAAAAAGTCTTTCTTGTTTATTGTAAGACCACAAACAAAAGATAAATTAATATAAAGGCTATTCAAGAGAAAAGAAATATGGAGAATTAATACTCATTCAAGCTCGAAAGAGAATTTTTGATGTTGCGCCACGTTTTGATTCTTGATCATCATGACTCTAAAGGATTTATTTATTGTACTGTAATTATATTTATTTAATTATATTGTACTCACTTCAAAAATTAATGGTAAATTTCGAGCAATATCCGCTACTTCACGAAATCGAGTTCTACATTTAATAAACACAACAATTTATTACAAAAAACAAAAAGAGATTCAATCAAAATTTGTTTACCCAATTCGTTTTGTAATTTCAGCATTTCTCCAATCTTTTGTCCATAAACTTATTCGATCACCTTTACTTCGAATTGATACAACACAACCGTTAACATGTGGTGCATCATCTGTATATTGATCACCAATTAATGAAAGTAACTAAACAAAACAACAAATAGATGAATCCATACAAATAAATAAATCATTTTTAACAAACTGTAAAAAGCCAATATTTATCGAGTTCAGTAGCTCGTTGACTTTTATTTAAATTTAAAGACCATCGACCACCGGTACGATTATATCGATCTTCCCACATTGGTTGCTAAATAAGGAAAAATAATTCATTAAATGAACACTGAAATCAAACTATGAGTGCATAATCTAATTAGATAGATGACTTTTCTTTTCTTTTCTTTTCTATTCAAAGCTTGTGAATCATAATTTTGTAGTAGAATGAATAGCACTTATTTTTTATTGCAGTACCTAATGAGGAAAGACTGCCAACTGCTGAGTTAGGGTAATATACATCAATGTAGGCCCTGATGAGCTATGAGTACCCTGATATGTGTTCGGGCCTTCAGTTTATTGTGGTACGGATATTACCTCCTTATGATATTTTTGAATTAAATACCATGGTTATCCTAAGATACACTAGACAAACTGATTTTCAAAATACGACGTGAAACTTTGCATAGAGACAGATTGTAACGAGAATAGTTTATTGCAGCAGTTTTAAGTCTTTTGATTTTCTTCTATTTTGAAATAAGAACGCCGAATTAGTCAGCGTATATGAACCATGTAAAACACATGCTTGTACCATAATGGTATATTAAGATAGGAACAAAAAAATCTTAAACTTTCATCGTAAACTATTCTCGTCAAGGTCTGTCTTTGTGCAAATTTTCGAGTCGCAATTTTGAAAATCAATTTTTCTAGTGTTCGTGAAGGAACGACAGCATAAAAAGTGTCTTTTTTCTTTCATGACCCAATAGTTTTCTTTGGCCAATACATAGTCTGAAGTGGTATCTACTATCTAATAAATCTATTTTGAGATACAAAAACTGTCTGTTAGTGTTGACACATTCGAGAAAAAATCAAATTAGCGACAGCTGTACATTGTTTTGGGTTTTTCTCAAACCATGTTTTTCATAAAAAAAGAAGTACATAAACGTTCTTATTTCTTTGGTCTAGTATGTTCCATCGAGCTGGAACATTTTTCACTTATTCTATATACAATTTGTGATGGATATTTCTTTTCTTTTTTTTTTTCAAAAAATGTTGCTTTATTAATTTTTGGTAGCTCTTATTTTAAAAGCTCTATTCTTAAAAAAGTGTTTTTCAAGGAACCTTCGATATTTTGATGTTTTTATTCGAAGGACAAAAGAAAGAATGATCACCTAAACAGTCTCTAGTACCTTTAGAAAAGGTGTTCAGCTCGATCGAATATAGTATCTCGGAAAAATTGGAGCGAAACTTGGAGTCATTTTTCGCCATTGAGATCTCAGTATTTCATAGTAGATAGTATCTGAGAACTTTGAGTCTATGGCAACTTCTGTTATATTCGTTAAGATCTACCTGTCGTGAAAATTTCAAAATTTTCTGATGAACCGTTCTCTAGAAACTCTGGAAATGGAAAGAGATACCCTTAATTTAAAAAAGATATCATAAAAATACAATATCTCCGCAGTAATAAGCTAAGAACTCCAACTCTGTTCCGGCTATTGATAGTTCATTAGAATGTACATGATGCGCATAGTACTAACAAGAGCTGAGTGAGCACTATTATCCATTTCAAAATATAAAGTGCTTCACTGTTTTTTTTTTTGAATAACTTTTTATAGGAAGATCAGAGAGACCTGCAGTTTTCACCATCTGAAAGAAAACTTTGGACCATCAAAGTAAATCGAAATTTGATAGGTCCACACATTAACAATCATTTGAATTCTTAACGGAGATTTTTGAAAACGATATTATGAAGCTATTTCCCTTTTGATTTACTCCAAACCGATACATCTAGTTTGTTTAATTCGAAAGTTATGAGACTTTGCCTAAAACCTCTGATTTCAGCCCATTGACTTGTAGTCTTCCACAAATGCAGCTAGAGAGGAGTGATTCACCATACTGACGAGGGAACCGTTCGAAGTGATTCAAAGCTTTTAAGCCGATATTTTGCCCATAAGTAGAGTCCAATGAGATTAGAAAAAGCCCAAAAGGACAAGGGCCCATGGGCCTTTCTTCTCGAGTTATGGTCATTTTACTGGGTTTATCACCTATGATACGATATTTACCGAAAAATCAAATTAAGGAGTTTCGACCTGAAATTTTGCCCACATATAGGTCTTGTGGCCCGTATATTAGCCTGAAAGTTTAAGCCAAAACGAATGCACTGTTCTCGAAATATTAAGTTTTCAAGAAAAGTCGATTCTTTTGGTATGTATGGAACATGGCACTGTTTTCTTGAGATTGCAATATCTCGAGAATGGCGCTTTCGTTTTGGCTTAAACTTTCAGGCTAATATACAAGCCACAAGACCTACATGTGGGCAAAATTTCAGGTCGAAACTCCTTAATTTGATTTTTCGGTGAATATCGTATCATAGGTGATAAACCCAGTAAAATGACCATAACTCGAGAAGGAAGGCCCATGGGCCCTTGTCCTTTTGGGCTTTTTCTAATCTCATTGGACTCTACTTATCGGCAAAATATCGGCTTAAAACCTTTGAATCACTTCGAACGGTTCCCTCGTGAGTCGAACCATGATATTTGTATTTAGATCTTAACTCATCCAACACTGTTATCTCAATATTTTCGAAATGTTGAGATAACGAAGTCAAATAATTTTAAACTTAAAAATAAATATCCACATTCGATCCAGCATGGTAAATTATCTCTGTCGAGCTGCTTCTTCATGTGACCATAGGTTAATTGGCTGAAATCAAGAATCTCAGGAAAAATCTTAGAACCCTCAAATAGAACAAGCTAGGAGTGTTGGTCTCGCATAGATCGAAGGAGAAGAGATTTTCATCGATTGATTTTATTATAAGTCTAAATGAAAAGAATATAGCTACTTTGAGGTTCCCTATTAATATTTATTCAAACACAGTGGAACACATTGTATTTTAAAATGGATAACAATTTACGCATATCAACTTTCGAGCCGTAATTTTTACTAAAGAAAATTATTTAGTAAAAAATCCAAACTTACAATATGTGTTTTAAAAAGAAGATAATCACACCCCTGACCAAGTCGACTAGCAACTTGTAAATGATTATAAACAGACCAAAAATTTTCAACTGTTGATACAGTTGTTATTTGAATTAAATTATCTTTCCATTCACATTGTCGATCATTTTTAAAAAACCAAAATGTCCATGAATCTTCTAATGGAAATGTTAAATCATTTGATGATTGCATTAATGATTGCATTTCATTAACAGAGTTTTCTTTTTGTTGTTGTTGTTGTTCATTTGAAACCGGTGATTTTTCTTTTGGTGATAATGGACTAATTGGTGTTGCATAAGTATCATCTGATTGATTATCAGTTGTATCAACTTTGATATTTTCAGTTATTGACATAATTCAAAAACTTTTTTTTAAATCTAAAAAAAAACAGAATGAAAAAAGTAGTGTTAATTAATTGCACAAATGAAAGGAATGATGATTTATCACAATATACAAATATCACAAGAAAAATAGCTGTGAAAGACAGAAAAATTGTTTAGCTACTTGATTGATAATGAGCTTTTAATTGCGAATTTTCAAGTCGTAATTCATCAATTGTTTGTTTTAATTGACTGATTTCTTTTTCATATTTAAGACGTTCTTCATAGGATGTTTTTGTTAAATTCATGAATGAAGCTTCTTTTTTATCGATTAATTCTTTTAATATATGATTTTCATTTTGTAAAGATTTTAAACAATCAGTTAACAAATTTGAATCAAACGTGTTACGTTTGTCATTTTGACAAATTGTTCGATGAGATGATGCATCCATTGTATTTGAATATTGAATAGTTTCAGTTGAAGAAAAATGCGGATTAAATGCTTTTGACACATTAGATTTAAAATTTGATAATGATTTGCCGACTTTATTAGCAAAATTTTTTTTTGATATTTTACGAGCAGGTGATGATATATTGCTTGTCGATAGAAGTTGAGAGGACGGTATATCTAAATTATAAAGGATATAATTGGAAAAGAATACAAGTCACCGTTTGAATTCATGATCTGAGATTAATTTGTAAGGCTAAATTCTTATTGTTTGAATTAATATCTTGATACAATTAAAGATTTTCAACATTCAATAGAATATAAGTCTCATTAAGAACAACCAGTGTTTTATAGAGATTATCTCTTTGGGAGGAACAGTTGTAAACTCTGGAAGTGCGAATAACTATTTTTGGAAACACGGACACATAACAGTTGTTACAAGAACTAAAAATTTCGGAAAAATCAACGTAGTTTTCGGAAGAGCGCTGCGCTTTCGGCTCTCACGTTAGATAAGATACTGAGAACAGTGCAAAAGAAAATGAATCTATGCTAATACTTTAATTTCTAGGATAAATGATAATCAATTGTTGAAATTCGACAAAAAAAAAGTAATATTGTCGAATTTTAGTTCTATCGATAGCAAAGGAAATGTTTTATTAGTTTTTAAGAATACTTCGACGTTCTATGGAGATTTATTTGTTAATAGCATCTAACGAATTCCAGAGTCATAAAGAATCACAGTTAATTACTCCGGTCAGGTACAATTACATAGACAAATTTTTATGGGTCGGCATGAATATGTACATCTAATTTTTCAAAAAACAATAACCATAAAAATGGTTTTTTCTTTAGAAATCAATTAATGTTAAAGTCTATCTTTGCAAAAAAAAAAAAACGTGCGTTAGACTATTTTATTCAGTGGTATTCATCATTAGATAGTTGATACATCTTAGTAACTCACGTTTATATTATGTTATATTATCGAAACAAAATCAACTAATTATTTAGTATTACAATTCATGACAGATTTATTTGTATTTCCTACTATTTATGAAAGAATGATTTAGTATCCTGTTAATTAATAATGTTAATATTTGTGACGAACATTTTATGAGTGTACAACGCTAATATAGAATTGGTAGTCCTACAGAATTTTCTGTTCACTGATTGAAGACCACAGAGAGAAAGAAAATCGATGAAAGTAAATAGTGAAAAGCGTAACAAGACCTTAGGTCACTACTATATTGATGAAGAGACACATAGGATTAATCTAAAAGTTGATCTCAATATTATAGAATCAGAAAACTGAAGAATGATTCACGTCAGTTTGATTGATTAGACTGATATGAGTATTTTATTCAATAAGATTTGAATAAAATTCTGAAAAAAGCAATTATTTTGATTATTTAATACATAGAAACACGAAATTGTCTTAATCAACAGTTATGATTATAAAACTTTCATCAATTCTGACTTTTAATAACATCTGATTATATTCTTACATGATCTATGTTTTTGTTCTAATATTGCTGCACGTTGTTGAGTTCTTGGTTCATCTTTTATCACATCAATAGCAGAAAATCGATTTTGTACAACATTTATTTGATTTTTTTCATTATTTTCTTGATCTATTGAAAATTCTGCTTCAAAACATGTTGTAAATGATTGTTGACTATCTAATTGTTCAGATGTATCACTTGTTCTTTTTTTCAGAAGTAATTTTGAATGACAATGCACATTATTAGTATCTGATTGATCACTATAACTTAAATTTGAACTATCAAATGATGAAAATCTTGTACAATATATGGATGGCATGGATGATGAACGTGGATGAATCTTAATCGGTTGTTCATTGGATGATAAAAGTGAAGAAAATGATGAGAAACCACTAGATTTTGCAATTGATTCATTATGACGTTGGCATAATTCATTTGAATTAGTCTAAATTTATGAAAACAAAATCAATAGATGATTGTATTTAAAGAAAAATCATACTGGAAAAAGATATTCGCTATGATCAATAAATACTTTAATTAATGGTAATAGGTTATAACTGAAATAGTTAAAATAAAGTTTCTATTTTAAAACTAAAAAAATACAAATTTTTTACCTATGTCCTTTAATCATATTAAGATCAAGTTCTTCCGATGTTCGAATAAGATTATTTCCAAAAGTCACAGCTAAATTATCTGTATCCATTTTTGTTTCCTGAGCATGTTCAGTAAGTTTTTTTAAAAATAAGCATAAGTATGCTAAAAGTGCATAATTTGTACTTGATAATGTTTTTTCTATTAATTTTTTTAAACGATCAATATCATTTGTTTGATTATATTTAAAACATGAACCGATTTCAAAAAATTCATCAAAATTTTTTACTGGAATTATTGGTTCAGGTAAGGATTGCAAATAAATTTTTAATAATGAAGATATTGTTGCTGGAGAATATGAATTATTTAATTCAATTGATAAACCACGATCGTACATATCACGTAATTCTTTTATTGAAGATTGTTTTCCAGGTATTCTAATTACAACAAGATAATGCATCTCGTTGAGAATGTAAGATCATGAGAAAAAGTTTAACAACAACGGTATTTTTCATTTTCTTTGTATAGTTTTAAGTGCTTAGCTCAAATTCAGATAGGGTTTTAATAGTCAATGAAATTTTCTTCTAGCAAAATTTCATAGTTCATTTATGAAATCTTAGTAAAAGAAAAAATTTCATTGGCTATTAATTTTACTATCTAGATTTGATTTAGGCATTTAATATTAAAGAGAAAACCAAAAATACATTGTTGTTAAACTTTTTTCCATCACCTTGTAATTGTGAATTTTTACCGAAACAAACCAACAAATGTGGAGCCATAGTCAAGTAGATATTCACAACATTGCCGAACAATTAAAGGTACAAGAGTTGTTTTGTCAAGAGAATATTTATACGTATCGTCTAATGATTGACCAAAGATACCTAAATGAAAAATAATTTTCTGATTGATAATGATAGAAGGAAAAAAAATCTTTTAAGCATTCTTCGATGGAGATTTTACCAGATTGATCTATTCTCAGTTTTGAGAACGATAAATAAGAACGTGTGAATGAATTTCTCTAATCGCTGTATAGATTTCATTAGTGTCTTCAACAGAGACGTATAGAATCAATTTTGCTTAGTCTCAGTAACAACGATAAGTCTGATTTGGGTTTTCGATTATATTCGGTTATGAATAGCACTTGTTTTGTTCGTCTTCAATGGATTATCATTCGAACAACTTTTTTTTCTCTTAGTCTCAGTAAATCCTCAAACTTTAGTTCAACACATCTCTAGTCGTAAAGACTGATATTTTTCAGGTTTTTTTTTTTATTACCATCAGATTTTACCTAATACTATTTTTAGTGAGGACTTGAACAATTCAATGTGTGATAGATCAAGTTTTGCTTCGTATAACTATGGATTGATAATAAACTATGATATGTATGCACTTAACTTAGAATAAAGTAATTATGGAAAAACATTCTATTTTCATTTGTTTCGAATGTATTTCATAAGAAGAGCTGAATACTCTGAACTATTTAGACATTCGAAAATATCTGTAATATCACTCACCACCACCAATCCGACTATAAGCAGTTCTTTTCAATGCCAACAACCAACAGTCATATTCTTTTTTGGATTCAGCTTGTAATATATGTACTTCATCTTAAAAAAAAAAAACAAAGAAAAACACTATCTTCTATTTAATCATAATTTATTTCTTACTATCTACTTTAATTTCAATTTTATTATCATTTGAAGATTCACAATCATTAATAAAAACATTTGGTAAAAGTTTAATCAAATCTTGATAACGTCCATCGAATTTAGATGCAATAAATAGAATAGCTTTGTCCCAATCAATAATACAATATCGACGATGCCATTTAACCTGAGAATTTAATTTGACTTTTAACCATCCTAAATAAATTTTTAATAATAATTATAAACAAAAAACAAATAATAGAAAATAACCTTGTTTGGGAATTATAGTCGGATCATCGTTCGACATTGTATCGATTTATGGGACACAAATTTTTTCCATTTCTTCCAAAAACAAAATCAATGGATATTTGCTTTTTTTTGTCCAATCATTAACTATACGTAGAGGGTGAACAACCAAATCTGATTCGTTCTCTTCAAGGAAAGATATAAAAATAAGGTAACTCATTTAGATTTTAATCAAATATATTATTGATATATTACTGCCGGAATTTGTTTAAATTGATTAATTTTTAAAAGTCATAAAAACTTCTTTAGTTTACAAATGAATCAAATAAAACAATAAACCAAAATACCAAATAATTCGTAGGATAAATTCAGATATTTTTTTATTTGAAATGGCGAAGGTCGATGCAGATATTTTTCTTCTCAAAAAGTTTGTCAAAACAAACCTCATGGTGATAACGAGTCACTTATGGACTACAACTTGTGTATACTTATTTATCATGACTTGACATCGAGATTTTTCGCACTTATATTCTGCTCAGGTTATCTAAACAATTTTTTGTTTCATATTTTAGTGAAATGCATATAGTAGTAAAGAGTCCGCGGTGCTGCTGTTTACGAATATCATCTTAATTATTGTTTAAACCGTTGTGATGAACAAGCAGAGCAAGTTTCCAAGAAATTCTTTCGGGGTAAAATTGCTACTTAGTAGTGAAAAGTTATATGTTTCTGAATATCTTTTCGCGATTCTCCTAGGCTATGCGTCGTCTTGTATGGTTAACTGACACAGTTAGTATTCCATTAGATGAAGAACACTCGATTGCCTATTTTAAGTATTTTTTGAAAGATTTGGAACACTGTATTGATGCGAAAATGATTGAAAAAAAAGCAAACAGAGAGTCATCTTTTTTCTTCTTAAGTCAACATGTTTTATATCTTGTCTTCTTGCTTGTTAAAATGGTTTAAACTAAAACTGACTACAGAGATACTCGTGATCAGTACCGTGATCTTTGTATTATGGCTTGTGTTTGGTCAAAAATAAATGAAAACATAGTTTTTCGGATTCCCGAAGGCTGAAGGAGATACAAGTGTGAAAAATCTTCATGACAAATAAACAAAAATAATGGTGCATTACTTGTAGTCGATAATTGACTTGTTATCATCACATGCTTCTTTTTTGAAAGAGAAAGTCGTGGTGATGAAAATAACCTAATCTTCTTGATTGTTTTTCAACATTATTATCTGCATAGAATTTGCAATGTTTAACAATATCTAAAATAGGTAATCAAATGTTCTCTATATAATGGAATACTAATGGGGTGTTAGTTAAGTATATAGAACGAAGTACAGCATGCGAGAACTATGAAAAGATTATCTGAAAAATATGGCTTCTCATTACTAAATGGTAATTTTACCTCAAATCAAAACCTTTCTTTCATCTTCAAGAGCATCTTTGAATAGAGCATAAAAAACCCTCAGTCGCACATACAGCCATCCACACCCTGATTTCTTTTCACCGAAGAAAAATATGTCGTCTTCCTTCTTTCATTTTATGACAGACACAGCATCAGTTTTAGCTTCGATTGGATCCTTTGAAATATAAACTGTACTCATTTTTTATTAGACAAAAAAGAGATAATGTCAACAGAAAGAATAAAATCATTGTGGAAATGGACTATCGTATTCTTCAGCAACCCTTTTCCATCATTTCTTCGTCAATATTTAATCCATTTGTGACCGTTTTGAATATCTACTTCACAAAATCGAGCGTGAGTGAGCATTGGGGATCGCCGTTTGGGTCTGGTCTTCACCTATGCTCACCGCTAATTAACTTTTTATATAACTTATCAAATAATTACAATCTTCATCAACTTCATAAATTAATTCATCAAATTTCATTGGTGAACACGTAAAACCAACTTTTATTAATAATTTTCCTAAGCTATAAAGGGTTTTAAGATTATTTGAGCGTTTATACAATTTTATACATGGGCGATTTGCAATAAATTGGTACCGTTTGCGAAAAAAAATGACTCAAAAATAAGTTTCAAATTAAAATGTTTTGATCCACTGATTTTGTTGCAATATGTTAAAGGATAACAGGAAAAAAAATTTACAGACTACCACTATAAAGGCGACCGAGATAGTGAGATCATTGAGATTCGCTATGATCTCAAAGGTAATTTTACGAAGACCTTTAATACGTTATGTAGAACTATTCAACTCTTCTCTTCAGAAAAACATTCCATTCTAGATCTACAATTTCAAAGCAAGTATACGAGTATGGTTTGATACCAATAGTGCGATTCACCTTTGTACAGTTAACAGAATTTCTACATTTTTAGAAAAATGCCTATTTAGGTATGCTTATCCTAGTTTTAAGCCAATCTTCAATATATAGTGACCTATTTCGGGATTCATAAATGTTCAGATCGACAGTGCTTTCAACGGGAAATCGATTCATATAAAATAAGTGTAGTTTTATTCGCGATTTGGTATAGATAGTATCCAAAAACTCTCGCGGGACATTTTCACATTAATATATAATTTTCTTCCGAACTATTCGTCATCGCGAGCTGATTTTTTAACCACAAATAGTTCGCAAAGGTTGGAAAAAAGGAACAAAGTTTGGCTCCAAAGGATTGAGATGTGACAGAGTTATAGGCAAAACAAACATGAAAATCTCGCGGGACATGTAGTGTGACAACTATGATTTTTGATTTTGTATTCCAATTTTCTCATCAAGATCACGATGCAACGAAAGTTTCTTTTTATCAAAAGGTAGCGCCTTCATTTCTCTATAATTTGAGACCATTCCCAATCTTTTGTACAGATCTATTTGTTTCTAGCAACGTTTTCAATCTCACGGGACACAAACATCTGCAAATGTCTGCCAGCTCAAAGGTCATCAAAATTTATCCAGAAAAGGGTGGTACTGCAACAGTCCATTTACATTCTTTGAATATTCAAAGTATCCTCCACAAAGTGGTAAAAAAATTAAATTAAAAGTGAGAATCGAAGATAACAAAAATCCAATTTTTAATCGATAGGCGGCACGAAAAATCAGGATTTTGACCGTTGTAGCATCTGCAGCTCGAGAACTTCATGCAATAAAAAGTTGATTTTTTGCCTGGTAGTGAGGGTTAAATAGTGGATCAAAGCAAAAAAAGAATTATCTAAATCGGTCATCATGAACTATAGTTATTGCGAATATACATCGTAAATTGAAATGGTACCAATTTTTTGCCAATCGCCCATCATATAGATAGATAGATATATTTAAAAAGAATTAGGAGATGTTTACATTAGAAAGAGCTCAGGTTTACAAGACTAGGCAGAGCTTACTCAAGATCAGTACGATAAAATTAATATACATTACCTGTCGACCATTGTGATATTGAATTATTATTATTCCTAATATCACTATTAGCTGTACTCCAATAAGATCCACCATTATTAGCTCTTTGGCTCCATTGATCAATCTGAAAAGAAAAAAGAAATTTTTATTTATAAATCATATATAATTATATATGATTAACCTGTCCAGGATAATTATTATTATTCAGTGTATATGTATAATAAGAATTTTGATTTGGATGAAGAGGCATAATTGATTGATGTGTCATTGTTGGAGCTGATACGGATGAAATTAATGAATTATGATGATGATGCGGTAAAATATATTCTCCATATTGATATTATTGCTGCATTTGTAATTGTTGTTGTTCATATGGATGTGGTTTAGTTGATCGAACTTCAATGGATGCACCATTGACTATATGACATTGTTGACGTAAAACTTCTTCTGCAGTTTTTTCAGATGAAAATGAAACAAAACCAAGTGGACGACAAACACTTCTTTCACGATTCATTAACTACAGAATAATAAAAACACAAAAAAAAAACTAAAACAAAAAAAAAGTTCTTATTTCTTTACAAGTTCAATAGTATGAACAATTCCAAATTGTGAAAAATAATCTGATAAATCTTGTTCAACAAAATCAGTTTGTAATTGTCGAATAAAAAATTTTTTTTACCGAATTTGTATCAGTTAAAAAAGAAACAATTAGTTTAATAGAAAATGAAATAAAATCTAACGTGGTTATCGATGTGCTGATTTTGTATCAATTAGACATTGATATATAGTATGTAATTAGACATTAAGAACTTTTTGTATTGATTCTTTATCATCAAATAAAATAAAAGCAAAACTACGTGTTCTTCCACCGGATACATCATATTTAATAGTAACATCTTCAATTGAACCAAACTTGGAAAAATATTTTTCACGATCTTCTTTTGTTATATCCGATGATAATTGGCCAACAAGTAATTTTCTATCATCATCCGTCTTTGGAATTTTTCCATTACGAATTCTATTTATTGTTTTTTTACAATTATCATTGTCATTATTATTAGATAAAAATTCTTCTTTTTGATTATCTAAATTATCATTTAATGAATCATTATTTAAGTCAGATGATGTGAGTTGATTATCATTTGAAGTTTTTTGACTATTTAGCATTCTATTCAAATTATTTTCATTTATTTGTGTTAAATAAAAAAAAATGAAGCTTACTTTTTATGCATTGATATAATAGAACAAGAATTTTTTTTTTTCTTCAAAAATTTTGATCCATTCTGAAATTATCGTTTGATAAAAACCATCTAAAATGATAGCTTTTCATTTGTTTTCATCAATAACCATCATTAAATAGAGAAAAAGTGTACACATAGAAATGAATCAATCCAATGAAAGAAACTATTTTATACCGAGACGAAAAAAAAAAAGTAAACATACATGTCAAAAAAAAAACATCGGAATCATTCATAGATTAATTCATTTTGAGATAGAACGATTTTTAAGATCATCTGAAGATGTTGATGATGAACGAGTGATGAAGTTTGTTCCAGAAAGTATTGATTCATATTGTTGTACTTTAATCATACCCACATCACCATCTAATCAACGATAATTCATTTCTCAATGTAATTTCCAACTATTTGATTCACTATCATGCAATTCAACACTTTTTAAATATGATGCGCTCTAAATAAAAACAATGTTAAACACAATTAGTTTCAATTATGTTACTTTTGACTAATATGAAATCCAGGTGAAAGAGTTCTACAGATTTATTTATTCGTATTTTTGGAAAGTTCGCTCTGATGCTCATCTATAATATCGGCACTATACGTGTAGGGAAAGCATTTAATACTGGTCCAAATTGTTGTTTTGAATTAAAATATTAATTACATTTCGTGTCCAGAACTGCCCGTTACGGTATGATTAGATATCTATCAAATCTGAACGTTCCGGTTTGGCTTCGGATTTTGTTTTATTTTTATTAAGAAACAATAAATCAATTTACAAAAAAATATAATCACTATTAAAACTAATCAAGATAAACAAATAAAACATATTTTGAAGTAACAATATGTACCATTGAGATATGAAAAGAATTTGTTACATCAGTTTTTCGTCTATATACTAATTAGACTTTCAACGAAAACATCATTTTTTCTTTTCACATCACAACAGCAACAAAAATCTAAACGGCAATGATGTAGATAGTGTCTGCTAAAAAAAGGAAGGATGCCAATAATAACAAAGGAAAAGAAAAGGATAAGAGCGATGGCATGTTCTCTCTCTCTTTTTCTTTCTCTTATTCTTTTAGGTAAGGTATACATTTATAATTGATCCGTTTACTAAGTTAGTTCGCTAATCACACAAGAAGAAAAAAATTGTTTATACTATAAAGATGACTAATTCGAGTGAGAATTGTTCATTGGCTTTAAATAAAATAAATAAAATAGTGAGGAACAGGAAGGTTTTTGTTTTGTTTTAAAAATGATATATGATTTATCTGTATGAGTGCAATAAGAAACAAGAAACGAGAAAATAATCATTGTATATGTTTATACAACGAAATATTTCGAGTTGAGTCTTCCGATCTCTAGAAAAACCGAATTTATTTAAATTGAAAGAATAAATTTTATAGTTGTGGAACATTTTCCATGATAAACATGATTTCTTATTTGATTAAATTTAATAATAGAACGATGATCGGATTGATTTGATTTTCCTTTTATTTTATTATTTAATGATAATGATTGATATAAAATTCAATATTCAATAATATTAATAACGTTGAACTCACGTCAGTATATGTATTTGTTCAAAGATGATCTTGACTAATTCAGATAATTAGAAAGTTATTTTATTATGATGTTCTTTTTTATTTTCTTCTCTACAAGCTACACAAAATATTTTCTTCTCTTTCACAAAGCGATACATTCATTCAATAGAGTCAGATATCTGACACTTATAATCATTTTTTCGCTTTCTCTTTTCCTAAATCGATGGTCTTTTTCTACTTATGTGTAATGTAAGACGTCACAATGATCGCATTAACATAGACATAAATAATCAAAAAAGAAAAAAAAAACAAGATTCGTCGATGAACATATTCGACTATATATCAATGTTATATTCTTTTGTTCAACAAGAAAAAAGGTGAATGTTTTTTTTCTCCAGCAAGGAGAGTACTTATGAACAAAGAATCAATCGATAAGTATATGTCAGCGTCCAAACTGAGATTACGTCCAATCTCGGATTGACGCAATTCTGTTCACTAAAAAATCAATTACTCTTGAGATAGATGTTGGATTGGAACTATTTTTTGAAATTATGTTCGCACAATGCCGTTTTAAGTATTATAAGCATTTAGGAAGAAGCTAAATTTAGATTCAAAAATTTAATAAAAATTTTTCATCAAAGTTGTTGTTTTCTAGAAATTTATTCATAACTCTAAAAGTTTTACTAAAATCTACCAAATCACAATTGTTCCAAATACACTGGCATTGTGTGAACATAGTTCCAAAAAAATAATTTGAATCCAACGCCTATCTAAAGAGTAATTGATATTTTAGTCAACAGAATTGCGTCAATCCAAGATTGGACGCGTTCAATGTCGGATCCAACATTCGCCTAGGCCAATCTGAGATTGGACGTAATCTCAGTTTGGACGCTGACATATATATCGTCTTAAGAAAAACATTCCACCACATTTAAACATGAATCAACATAATGTTCATCTTCTTGATCTTTCCAATGAAATATTTTATTTCTCATTTTGAGAAAACTTGAGAATGTTGATGTTCTTTACTCTTTAATGAATATCAATAATCAACGACTTCATAGTATAACACAAGATCAAATCTTCACTAACAGTCTGAATTTTGTACCCATATTACAATCAACTGATGAGATTTCTTCAATTTCTGACTCAATACTTGATCGATTTTGTGTTGATATATTACCAAGAATTCATGAAAATGTTAAATCTCTAACTGTCGAATCAGTTTCTATGAAATGTATTCTTGGTGCTGGTAACTATCCTAATCTTACTGAACTTAAACTTTATAATTTCAACAAAGCAATTGTTTCACGTTATTTCATGGGTAAGATATTCATGTGTTCTGATCTTTAACAAAAAAAATGATTAGCATACAAAAATGTTGAGATGCTCACGTTTAACAACACCTATGTATTTTGTTTAGATGACTCTCTCTTTGGACATAATTATGAATAACAACTTACGAATCTCATTCTTATCAGCAATGAAAACAACATTGAACTAACACCAGAGGAGTATACTCAGATTATTTATGCAATTATCTTAACTTTCTTTGAAAACCTGAAGCATTGGAGTATTGTTCTAAGAACTTTGAAAGACAGACCTTCAGTTGATAAAAAAATATATTGAATTTATACCTATTAGTATGAATACCTAATTATTGTACACGTAGTCAATTTTCAACTCTCACAAGAATTGCTTTGGTAAAGTATAGAAAACATTAAAAGTGTCATAAAAGATATTACAACTACTCTTTGCTTTCTATAAATCAAATACAATTTTTTTTTTCTATGCTTAATCTATTTAATCTAATTCTATAATACAATTTTCGAATTTATCTTGATTCTATGGAGACAAACGACATCAAATATTATTCTTTAAACATATTCTTTCATGGTGGATGATTCAAAATACAAATCGATAGTAAAAAGTTTAGAATAGATGATTGATAGTATAGTAGGACTGCGAGATGAAATAATATATAACAATCAGCTACCGATGCAGCATCATTATTAATCTTAACAGGGATATTTTGTATACTATTTCGTAATGTCACTTGTCATTATTTCACACAAAGTTATAACTTATAGAAATGAAAAGCGATCTAGAAAGAAAACATATATGATTATTTAATAACTATGGCTTCATGTTAGACACAAAAACCATTAATTTATCTTTGCTATGAAGTTTACAACTTAGATAACCTTGACTCTCAATGTGTCACATACGATGAAAAGAACTTCGATTCCCTACGTTATTCATTTGATACTAACAGTCATATTGAGATCAATATTATTCTATTAATTAAAGCCAGGAACAATATGCTTTACTCCTAGTTAGATAAGTAAATTATTTATTGATATCCTAGCAAATGATACAGAGTTTATCTTTTTTTTTTCTGTTGCATACGTATTCCTAGAAGCATTCACATGATGAACAAGAAGAGAACATTGTGCTTCATTGTACGTTTAACTTTAACTGGTTACTGACTTGCTTGTCTAAATGAAGAGCGAACAACCATCATCATTGAATTGGTTAATATTATTAGTTCTCGAGTCACTGAATCATCAATACTAAGTTTCAATTTTTCTGCTCCTACTTATGCAAATTAAACTTAAGTGATAGGGATGATAGCAACACTATTTCAAAAACCAGTTCAATTTGATATAACCTGACGGGTAATTTTCGGAGTCTAGAAATATGAATCTTTACGAAATTTGTCAAACCTTATGAACTTCATGTTGTCGAACAGAGAAGATCTATTTTCGATGTTTTAGTCAATTGTTATTAAAGATCATTATTTAATTGAGATTGCCATCCTACTATAGAGAATATCAAAAAAGAAAGAAGTCTGTATTGTTTGTTAGCAGATGAGTGCATAACTTGTATATCTGCCTAAGGGTGTGGGTGTGGGTATGTGGGTAGGTGTCGGTGTGGATCTGAATGTAGATCTTTTTACCCACACCACCCACAAACCCACATCCATCCACACCCAACTCTTGTCTGACTGGAAAGTGGTGTCAATTGAGTCTGTGGAGTTCAGAGTCCGTTGTTTTTCTCTTGCATTTCCTTCTTCACCCATCCCTAGTGTGATGACGTAAAATGTGAGCACTGCTCAATGAGGAGACATCATTCGTCATCTCCTCTGGCGCTTTGGGGCAAACTCTCGTACCAAACATTCATGACATGCCGACATTGGATGCCATATACACATTTTGTAGCAACAAACAACGCCATGAAACATGGGCCAAAAAATGGATGAAAATTAAAGGTGTGCATACTACAATCAAGCCAATATGTGAAGCGCTGGCAGTGGCTGTCAAGCAATGTGATCAAAACCAAATAGTACTTAGTATTGTTGGTGTCAATCAACAAGGTTGTAATGAAAGTCTCAATCAGCTAGAACCGACCTTCATGTACTCACAACTATTCAAAGAAATCCTTCTTGATATGGAATATAGCTAACAAGGCATTAAAGACTTGGTCAAGTTTTGCCAAGAAAATTATCAGAGTAATGTCAAAGAAATGAAACTTATTGATGAATTTGAACGCACGTATCATCCTTCAAAGGCCATTTTGTGGTATTCACGTGAATGTTTCATCTATAAAATGTTAAATAAAGCATTAAGAACGCTTGATGGTGACATCATCATTAGAATGGGATTTTATCTTTGTGATCTACACCGACAAATAGAAGATTTACACAAGAAACAGGTCTGTCAATATCATAGTAAAACCTTTGTAGTTTTTCGTGGGCAGAAAATATCGACAGAAGGCTCTGAAAAACTCAAGAAAAACAAAGGCGGACTTCTATCATTCAATAATTTTTTGTCCACTAGTGAAGACCGAAAAATCTTCGAAGAATTCGTCGAAAAAGTCATACTAACAGCCAATACAGTCGGCATTCTTTTTGAAATAACCATCAATCCCATGGTGTCATCGATTCCCTTTGCTTCCATCCAGGAGCTAAGTTATTTCAAGCAAGAAAAGGAAATTCTATTCTCCATGCATACAGTTTTTTGAATTGGCGACATTCGCAAATTTCACAAGAAAAATCCACTTTATGAAGTAGGTCTTATACTTACTTCAGATGACGACGAACAGCTCCGCCAACTAACCGATCGTATACGACAAGAGTCTTCACGTAGAACTAGGTGGCATTGAATGGGTATATTGCTGCTCAAAATAGGTCAATTCGACAAGGCTGAAGAACTGTATACCGCATTATTAGAACAGGTTTCGGACGACAGTGATCAAGCACATATCTATCACCAGCTTGGATGATTGAAAGACAAGCAAGGACAATATACAGACACACTTTCATTTTATGAAAAAGCACTCAAAATGAAGCAAAAAATATGTCCCTAAAGATCATCGCTCATTGGCTTCCTACTACAGCAATATCGGTCAAGTGTATGATGCCATGGGTAGCTACTCGACAGCACTTGAGTTTTACGAAAAAGATCTTGAAATCACGAAAAAAACTCTGCCTCCGACTGATACCAATTTAGCTATTAAGCTCTGCCTCCTAATCATCCCTCAGTAGCTGTTTCCCATAGCAACATCGGTGCAGTCTATAACAACATGGGTGACTACTAGAAAGCACTTGAATTTTACGAAACAGCGCTGAAAATAAGAAAAAAAGCTTTGCCTCCGAATCATCCCTCATTAATTACTTTCTATAACAACATCGGCCAAGTGTATAACAGCATAGGTAACTACTCGACAGCACTTGAGTTTTATAAGAAAGCATATGAAATCTGCAAAAAAACTCTTCTTCCGCATCATCCAGCTATGGTTACTTCCTGCAGCAACATCGGTGGAGTATATAACGACATGGGTGACTACTCCAAAGCTCTTGAATTATATGAAAAATCACATAAAATCCTTGAAAAGGCTCTTCCTCCGACTCATCCTCATTTGGCTAGTAGTCATTTGAATTTTGCAGCGTGTTTCGAAGGCATGGGTGATTATGTAGCAGCTCTTAAGACTCTTCAAAGTGCTTTCGAAATTCAGCAAAAAGCATTTCAAGAAGGTAATCTACAGTTTGCTTTTACATACAACGGGTTTAGAACGGTGTATCGCAGTATGAAAAATTACTCAAACGCACTTTATAATTTTGAAAAGTGCCTAACAATACGTCAACAAGCATTACTGGAAAGACATCCCTATCAAGTTATTATATATACGAATATTGGTGATGTTCACCGATTAATGAAAGATTATAAAAAGGTACTTTCATTTCATCAAAAAGCATTAAATCTTCAGAAGAATTCTCAATGTAATTCTTTGGAATGTGCAACAACATATACTAATTTAGGTGAAGCTTACCGAGAAATGAAAGATTATACAACAGCATTGACATATTTTGAGAAAGGATTACAAATACGTGAAAATAAACTGCCAAAAAATCATCCTGATTTAGCTGTGATCTATCATAATTTGGCGAAGTTATACTTGGCTACTCAACAATACAGTATGGCAATGAAAAATGTTCAGCAAGCGGTAGAAATTGCTCAAATAAAATTGGCTTCAAATCATCTTCATGCTTTGAACTATAAAGAAACATTTGAAAAAATTTAAAAGAAAATGTAAATTCGGTTTTTTCTAGCTAACTCAATAAATGGGTTTGGATTGCTATTCGTTTCTCTTTTCGACTTTTATCGGCACTATCATGTACGCGTGCGCGAGCAGAAAGACTCCCGTAAGCTTGAAATGAGTACACGTAGACCGGATCACATCGGAATGGTAGAGCAATGAACGTAGGTATGACATATAATAAGGAAGACAGAGAATATACGCTCATACCTGGCCTTCCCCAGCACTACACTGCTTTTGACATAACAGACACAAGGAATCTCCTTCAGTTAGGCTACGAAGTCACTCAACAGGCTGTGATAAGAAAAAGATAAATCTTTGCATGATCAGCACATAATTCCAATACGAAAATATATTCATATACAAAATAAGTTTGTCTTTATTTGTAAATATGAGAATGAATGTATACATTAAAAAAGGGAAATCTAAAGTTTCCGACATTTATGGCTACTTAATCGAAAAATTCTCCATAGAAATCGCATTGGCTACTAGGAATGTCATAATTTTGATCTTTATCCTCTTGATTAGAGAAAAACTAAATCTAGCCTGTACTTTTTGCTCTGTTGTAAGTCTCTCTCAAAAGAAGAGAACAAAAATAAAGAAACATACCTGTTTTTGTTTATACTACAAATTTAAATATAAATATGAATTTGATTTTAATTTAAAATATTGCAATGTTATCGTATATTTTAATATAATCTAATTTTATTCACATAAATTTTCCTTTGTAAATAATTATATAATATTAATTTCCATTTATGAATCTACCAACACTATATGATTGAAACTGATAATTTGACTTTGAAATATTGTAGTCATACTTAATGGCGTTACTGAAATTTTTAATTTAAAATAAATTGATCGATGTAATGTTAAGTAATTTAATGCATTTTTATAAATGGTTGAGTATTTATCACCCATAAAGAAAAAAATCAATGTACTTAGATCGTTGATGACGATGTGTTCGATCGAATAGTGTGGATTGAAAGAGGAAATTTTTATCGAAGACTAATAAAAAACATTATTAATTCACATCACGTTGATGGTTGATGTGATTATTAATTTCATCTATTCATCGATGGTCAATCGATGTGGGTATCACAGTGAGTGCATCAGTGAACTTGGTTAAAAAAAGACACTAATATCAAGGGTTCCATTACATGGGATTCGTGTTAATCTGCAGTCAATTCACGGAGGTATATTTTTATTAGGATCCGTGGCATACAAACGTTGTTAACAAAATAAATCCGTATTTTGATTCGACGGATGACTTTGATGAAAGTAGGTTTCGAATTTTGAATATATAGAAGTAAGATTTCACTGGGGTATATTTTTGTGCTTGTATTTTTCGGAAAATCGCTAAAAATCATCTATACTCGGAACTTTTTCACCATGCTTTTCTTACATTAAATCTGAATCTTCCTACGGTAAAACATTGTCAATTTTCGTTGCTGAACAACGATATTCTCTACTTTTTGGAATTTCATGTACTTGATATATCAAAATGAAAATAGACATATTGTTCTTATTTTTAATTCTAAATCTAGCGTACCCTCAGCATTCATATTTCATTCACCTTTTCAGTCTTTGTAACTTAACATAGTATGCGTGAAGTAATATAATTTCATTTCGAGTTTACAAATCATTTTTTATTTTATTGCACAAAACTATTAAAAAACAAACAGAAGAACACACATGGGATGTGAGCGTAAAAAAAGAAGGAATGCATACAATGCTTTTTTTCAAGGAAAATAAAAAACAATCACTGTCATAATAACTCTTTATGATAATATGAACAAAGGGTCTAGTGAAATACTAGAAATTCTTTATTGTAAAAGATTATGTATATCTTTCAGAGAAGAGGATTTCATTGATATTTGTAATGTATTTGTTTTTATTAATAAAAGTATTATTTGGTAAATGGTGATGACGATAAAAAAAAAACACTATAAATATCAGATCGAACAAGATCTTGATCATATAATGATGATGATACACATTCATCTCAAAATCTCTCTAATCCATAAAAAAAAACAATTAAATATAACGAAAAATTTCTTTACTAATTTCAGTTTTAGCTGAATCATTATAAAATAAAAAGCTTGCATAAAATGTATTAGGTCCAAATCATGTGCTACTATGAAGATCTATAAGATTGAACAAATTATAGCGAGCTTCAAATGAATTTGTTGTTGACAAACGATATGCAGACATATTAAGATTACTAAAAGAAAGACAAAAACATTTCTTTTTCAACCAGGTTTTTTATTTTCAAATACAGGTCGAACTGGATATATATATTTAAGTTGATTCGATTTTTTTATCATTAATTTTAATCCAACACAAATGCAAAACGAATTTTTCGTTATTATACATGTTTACCTATAATAAAAAAAAGAAAAATAAACAAATATTTTAATTCCTTTTTAAGTTCTCAAATTACAAACAAGTGACGACATGAACAAATAAAGGAACAATATGATGCTCTTGAATTTTTCCGTGATTACGTATCTAAAAAAGAATTAAATAAAAGATTTTTAAAATCTACTAAAATATGCCAATCGAGTACCAGAAAGAACTGAGCTGACGTTAGGATACCTAAACAAGTTGTCGTATCAATTAGTGCATGAATTGCATGGAGACTATATGTTTTTATAGGCATCAATCTATGAAGTAGTAAAAAGAAACAAATTTTGTTTTTCGTTTTTGAAAATTTCAAACAATATTTAGATATAAATTTAGTATATATAATTAAAATAGTAATTCATTTGATGATCATTTCTTCCATGATACTGAAAGATACAGAAGAAAAAAGATTACGCAATAAACTTATTTAGCTGTTGAATTTGGTCAATCACAACATAAATAAATGTACTCAAATTTTAGTTGATCATAAGGTCGACGTTCATCATGTAGTATCTCGTCTTCAATTGTCACATATCTTCATCTCGACACTTTTGATGACGATTGTCAACAATTATATGTTAGATCTTTTGCTTTTTGTACTTCTAATGCTATACTGTCAGTACTATGTGATTTATCTTGTATAGTTCTATTAACAACATCTTTATCATGAAATGCCACAACTGCATAACCAAAATGTATTATTATCTTTTATTTTTTGTGATAGTACTTGAGAAAACTTTACGATATTTATCAAAATAGCTTGATAAAAGACTATTCATTAATGATTAAACATTATCACAAAGAAACATACGTTTAACAGATTTTTGTAATACACGTGATATAGTAAACAACGTTGGCATGATATTTCATTTCTATCCATAGAAAATGGTCGTTTATTTGTAAGTATATCAAAACTAATACGATCATCCAATTCACTAAGGTCTTCACCATCAGTTTCTGTTAAATAACAATCTAAAATTGAAGCACAATGACAAGTATTTTGTTGTTATTGTATTGTTGTTGTTGTACATTTAGGTAGATTCCGTATTAATGCAATGCGAAGCAAAGCATTTAAGTAGACCGACGGAACTTTCTCGTCGTGCGCATTAAAAATTGTCATGTTGTATCGCGATGATGGCGAGAATGGAAACTGAGAAAATATGTTATTTAAATGCCATGTGAAAATATCGAGAAGAAGGCGATACTATTGTTTTCAATCTTTCCGAGAACATTTCTTTGGGTTACAAGTAGCACCTCAAAAAAAAAAACAAGCTTTTGACAATTTAGTTGTTTCTCTGAAGCTTCAAGATAATAATTAACACAATGACAGAAACACAATTTAGCCACCAATCTCTTTGCTTATAGCTAAGATAGCTGTAAATACATCTGCTGCTAGATAATCAATTAGAACGAGAATCAAGTGATCAATCAATAGTATTCACATGAGAAATATGTTTCTAACTGTTAATAGAGTTCTCTTAGTAATGAAATTTGAAATGACTACTTTACATATTCTTTCAGATTTCCATCAGCCAATTGATCGAAGCCTTAATTTTTTAGATTTAGTTATTTAGATGTAATTTATCATTCGATGCAGTTTCATCTTCGATCTCCAATGATGAAAACTGCAGTACTCTATCTTGTTTCTATCAAAAGTTATTCAAAAAATACCTACCTGCTTTTTCTTTGAAATGGACACTAGTATTCAAATATGTGAAACGATTTCGATGTTGTTTCAATTGAAATGAAGCGAAGAATAGGGGGAGGTAATGATAATTTCGAATGCTAAATTTTCAACATGTTCAACAAGATTAAACATGAGAAAACGAAGAAAATCTGAATTAACCTATTGAAATGAAAATACATTGATTGAAAAATGCAAAAAAGGAAAAGGAATTGATTTATGACTTGATGAAATGTTTTTTTTAGTAAATAGTCTTATTATAATAACAGATCAATAATGAAAACTTTTAGAAAATAGTTTTATCAAACGAAGAATGTTTTTGAAAAAAAGAAAATGTATACAAATAATACAAACAACAATATTTAAACAATAACTTAGTACTATAGTACAATGAGATTCTTTCAGAATTCTCTGAGAGTTCTTTTACAACAATTACCAACTGTATAGCTTCGAATGATGTTAAATATTTTTTTTCTTTAATTTTTATTCTTTAGAAGTTTTTGATTATTGAGAATCCGATAAAATGATCTTCCTAGAAAACAAAAATTAAACAATATTCATAAAATTTAAAAGAAAATACTCCTAAAGGAGAATCATGCTTATGGTTAACTGAATAAATACCAAGAATATAAGTTAAAAGGTTTGTTTCTTTTTCGAAATCGGAAGTAATCATCTATCTCATTCAAATACCTTCAACGATCTTTTTTTTTTGCATATTTCCTTTTTTCTACTTCAGCCAAATTACTAAATAAAATCTTGCTCACAGATAACGTTTCGAGAATATCTCTTCTCATGCCATGGAAATAGCGTTTTGAAGTATTGCCAATAAATTGCTGATTAACCGCAGTTCTTTAGGAACAATGAGACAGTAAGTATTAGTTTAGAAAATAAATGATTTTCTTTTTTGTTTTATTTAGATTCATAACAATGACTATTTCATCATTCTGAGAAGCTCATGCGAATACAACAATAAACGATGCTATATAAAAAATGTGTTATATTGGGGATTTTCGTTGTATATTTGCTACGGAAGTGCCTAGAAAATCACTGTTGTGATTCTCGATAGAGTTTTTCAAGCTACCCTAAAAAGTCTATTACCAATAGAAAATATCGAAATTAAGATAAATGTATGAAAGAATGTGAAACTACAGTGCTCGTTTTTTCAATGAAGATTTTTTATTATTATACTAAAAAGCATTTCTACACATAAATTGATGACCTTTTTTTGAGGGTTTTTCGAGATACTGAACTTGTTCTTCCTGTCCTTCGTATAAAATGTAAGAAATTTAATAAATAACTTGCTAGCGTATCCCTATTGGGGCTAAAATATGGGATTCACATGCGTTCTTTATCCTCATTGTACTAGTACAAGATATGTTAAGTGAAAAGTTTCTGGCAAACTGTTTTTCAGGGCCTTTTCTGTCATTAATAAACTTTGCGAGTGGAGTCTGATGCCTGTTATTTTCAGTTACTATAAAAGCATACCCGAATATTTCGCTTTTCCCCTCTTTTTTTGAAGGAGCAGAGAGCCGCAAAAACTCAGCTGAAAAATTACACTCACCATATTTTTCTTCGAAATAGACAATATGAGTTCCATAAGCATAAACTCATCTCTTGTGAGAATAAATTAGATTCTTTGAACAAAGAGTCATAAAATAATAGGATAATTGCCATTGAAGAATACACCATATTTAATAATAATCCTTACTTTCTTCTAATCTATTGGATAACGAAATACATAAATTTTGTTTAACTTATCTTGGATAATTGGTTCAATTTATACAAAAATTATTCCATCTAAACAATAAAGATTTTCCGATATTAACAAGAGTATAGATGTCACATTTAATGACTGTATATTTGTCAGTTTTTCATAATCAACATTTGTCATCAATTGTTGTGGTGTAAATACTTGATTATAAGTAACACAATGTATACAACCATAAACCATATTGGAAATCATTGTCTCATAATATTAATCCTTTTAACTGAATTTGTTTTTGAATAGCGTACAAGCTTACGTATTTTATCCATATCATAATGATCATATTCAGCAATAGTTTGTGTTAAATTAATACTTCCAAAATAAATATTTGGAAATTTTGATTTATTGCATGTATTTGATGAATTTTGTACAAGAATTGGTGGTATTGAACGATAAATATTTTTGCTTTATTTGTCGTTCAATTCAAGAATGAATTTCACGAATAGCCAGAGTAAAAAGCTTACCGTTGCGTTAGCAATAGGCTAAGTTCAAATCTCGCTAAATATATAGCAGATTTTTATGCGTCACGTCTTTGTAGATAGACGATGAAATTTAAAACAACGCACTATGTTAAGTTTCATTTGATTCATATCGATTTTGTTGCTGGCACACTGCAACGTGCTATTTTACTCTTGCTATTTATAGTGTAACAAAGGTATAGAGCTGAAGAAATATAATCGGTTTTGATTTCAAATATAATAATTTATTACCGAAAAAGCTTTTTTAGAAAATCATTACCATCTTCAATGCTTGAGTAAGGTAGTATAAAACTGTCTATCTGCGTATTTTCTGATTCCCTGTTCTTGAAATCATCGCAACAAAAATGACAAAGTTCGATGCATATATCTAGTAAATAAGAATAAAAAGAAAACTCTCAAAGGACTACGTAAATGTGATGCAAAGCTATCTCAAATTTCAAGAGTAGGATTTCAATTAACGTAAGAACGATAAATGATTTCAATCAGAGTCAATTCTGTCTTGTCAAAAGTCTGGAGACTAGTTGACAACTTTTAATAATCACGAAATAAAAGATAGAGACCGAATCATCAAAATTGTCGTTTTTTGGAACTTACAACAAGTAAATAACGAAGGTCAAATGCACATGTGGTCGACTTCAGAAATGCTCCTGATCTGAAATAGCTGATTCACTTTTTTGAAGATGCATGCAACTCTTTGCTATTCATTTGAGAATAGGAAAATACCGTTTTTCTATTTTAAAAAACTACAAAACTGATTAGATAGTGATTTAGTACCAGAAAATTATTTATAAATTAAGTCAATTTTCACATTGATTGCATAGAACATATTCTTGATTGATCTTGTTTCTAAACATACAACAGTAGACTATTCGATACAGCTGGAGATTTTGGTTTTACTGTTGATTTCACGATCTTCAATGATAAATTTTGTTTGTCAATTAATTGTTCATTTTCTTTTTTTTTTGTTAACATAATTCTCGTTACTTAACATTTTTTCTGCGATTAGCCAATAAATAGTTAAAACCTTGATCCTTCATTTACTTTTTCATATATATACAGAGGGTGCTGCATATTGGTGGATAAAAAATATGGGTTCGGATTCAGATTACGTAGGATTGCAGCTCCCTTCCTCTCACAGTTCCCAATGATTCTTCTGAAGAAAAATTTGGATAAGATACTATTGATAACATCTGATTATAGGAAAAGATTTCCATGATTTTATATTGCAGCCTTTAATTAGACTTCTTTTTCTAAGAATCGAAGACTACATAATGTGTATTTGTAGCTGAAATATGACCTTGAATCAATTGATAAATTTTTTCATGGTGTAAAATTAACTGTTATTCTAGAAGATTATGCAATTATGTTATTAATTAAAACATTGCATTTGTCTGATATTTTATTATAGATTATTATTCGAAATTATGTATTGCTGCTATATGTCAACTGACATTTAATTTATTTTTTGTCGTATATCTAGTCACATTTCAAAGAATGATGATGCATAAATAACGACATTTATTTTTTTTCTTTTTTTGAGATCAGAAACTGAATGTTGAACTATTTTCATACAGATAATTTTATATAGTCAAGAAATAAACATCACATGTTGATTTGTAGCTATTGAACTCATTCTAAACATCAGCAGCAATATCGTATAATAGAATTATTGTTCGATTATTTCTTTGTCCAGCTGCATATTGATGTATTTCATTTCAATAGAAAATAATTGACATCGTTTTAACAGTATCTTTTCATAGTTTCGTACGACACATTTTACATGACATGACATGACATACCTCGTCTATTAATTAATAAAAAAAAACGACAATTATTTCAAAGGTCTTTCTCAATGTCAAGTAATTTTCATATACAAATGTTTGCTACTTTCGATATATTTACACTAAAACTTGTTTATACATTTGAGATCAAATAAACAGAAAATCTTCTTTTAAATTACTCTATTGTCATTTGTTTCACATTAACAAATCATCATATTCTTACAATTTAAATTAATTCATACATTGAAAGTTCTCTTCAATGATATTTTAGGAGTAAAAGAGTGAATTCAGGTGTTATGTTCGATTCCATATATTCGAATTTAAAAAAGAAAAAATGTTTAGCCCTAAAGAGGGCTGTTGGGTTTTAGTGGTTTTTTATTTTAATTTGAGAGTGATGTTATTCATCTCATCCGGTCAAGCAGTAAATAAACCGCTTATGAACCGAAACCGTAGAGTGTACGACCTTGTCGTTTGAGTGCATATACAACATCCATAGCTGTAACTGTCTTGCGTTTGGCGTGTTCTGTATATGTAACAGCATCACGAATAACGTTTTCAAGAAAGATTTTGAGTACACCACGAACTTCTTCGTAGATCAATCCAGAAATACGTTTAACACCACCTCGTCGAGCAAGACGACGAATAGCTGGTTTTGTGATACCTTTAAAAAAAAAGAAAATTATAGTTTTTAAGTCAAGTATTTGAATTGATAAACATACCTTGGATGTTATCACGTAAAACTTTACGATGGCGTTTGGCACCACCTTTACCAAGACCTTTACCACCTTTACCACGTCCGGACATTGTTTAATGTATGTATTTGATATAAAAATGAAGAATACGGTTTGATGACAAGTGAAGAAAAGAACGATTCTAACCGACACTTATATACTATTCACATAAACATATATCGATTGGCTCATTAAGAAAACAAAGACTCATCATATTCATTGGTTAGTTAAAGATTTTCTTAATAGACCAATAACATAAAGGTCATCGTCCTATTTATAAAGAGCGTTCGTTTCCTTTCGTTTCTTCTGTATTCAAACTCGTAAACATCTACATTTCTTTCAAACGTTTATTTGAAAAAAAAACTTAACCAATGGCTCGTACAAAACAAACCGCACGTAAATCAACTGGTGGTAAAGCACCACGAAAACAATTGGCAACCAAAGCTGCACGAAAATCGGCACCAGCTACAGGTGGAATCAAAAAGCCTCATCGCTTTCGTCCAGGTACAGTAGCTCTTCGGGAAATTCGTCGTTATCAAAAATCGACTGAATTACTCATCCGAAAATTGCCATTTCAACGATTGGTTCGTGAAATTGCACAAGACTTCAAAACGGATCTCCGCTTTCAATCATCAGCCGTCATGGCTTTACAAGAATCTTGTGAAGTACGTTTTTATTTTTACTTTTTTCTGTAGAATATTAATCTTTCTTTTTTTCTTCATTTAGTCCTACTTAGTCGGTCTCTTCGAAGATACCAACTTATGTGCAATTCATGCTAAACGTGTAACCATCATGCCAAAGGACATTCAATTGGCCCGCCGCATCCGTGGTGAACGCGCTTAAATAGTTTAACGATGAAAGATTAGAAAAAAAAGAGATGAACAACATCGGTCTCAAAAGATAAAAAAATAATTAAAACCCAACAGCCCTCTTTAGGGCTAAAATTCCATAAATTTAAATATATGGCATCGAGTTATAAAAAAAACACTGAGTTTGCAAATCATATATTTTTTTTTTAGTGAAAAGCAAAAGAATTCGAATAAAAAAAGAATGATCATATAAATAATATTCGGTTAAAATTTTTTCCTCTAATGGGAAAAAAAAGGAAATGATGTGAATTTTAATAGACTTTGTTATTCTCTCGTAAATAAAACCAATGACAATATTTAGTATAAAATCGATATTGTTCAAACGACACTTTAATAATTACGTGATCCGATAAAAGTTTAATGTTAATGTTCAAAGAAAAACAAACAGATAAAAGTCTCATTTCATTTTTCCCATCTCGTTCGATATGATGTCATTCAAAGATTACTTAGAGAAAACATACGTTTCATTCGACTTTATGTACTAGAAACACATGTGATTTTTCTAAGAAGCCGATCAAGAGATTGATATTGTCTGGTTGATCTCGACACTGAAAGTTGATAGCAATTCGTCGAAGAGTGTCCGATATTTTTGAAAGTTGTCACGTACCTCAAGATTACAGCGAATTAAAATACCATCTGTGACACAATATCGACATATGAATCTTTAGTTGTTAGTACGAAATTGGAGATTAACTTATTTAAATAATGGAAAACAACAGAAGTGTCAGAGAAGCTTGTTACAAGTCATACGAAAAAACAGTGTTTTCATCGTAAGTCCTTTGCATTAAGGCATATTGACCTCGGATTGTTGATTACGATCGAAGTTTACCGAACTTTATTTGTAGTCAAAGTGATTGAATTTTTATGTAATTATAACCCAGTAGTGAGATTTCTTGCAACTAATGCTAGATCACTGATTAAATTTTCTTTCTATAGAAGACCATGAATTTTTTCTGAAACGAATTTTGTTGTTGAATGATCAACTTTTAGTTTTTTGAACAAGTGAGTCGAGTCAACCCTGAAAACGATGATGTTTCTTCTCTCATTAAACGATAGAGGAACGAAGAAAATATATAAGGTCACAGGTTATATAACGGTCATGAATATCTACGAACGTTTTTTTTGTTGAATAGAAAAAAAGGTCACATTAAGAAAAAGAAAGCTCGAAGAGAGAAAATTCTATGAAGTTCATTTGTTGCTCTCTCAATCAAATTCACCAGATAAACTTCCATGTGAGGAAAAGATTACACCAAAAAAAAATAGTTTTCATCATGCTTCAATTAGCGCTCTGATTTTAATTATAGATACAATCTATAGAACTACTGATCTCAAAACTGTGACCATATCTTTTGAATAATTTCATAAGACAAATATTGAAAAGAAAAAATTCTTTTTTCACTCTATACACATGTAATTATGTGTTTTCAATTCGATTTTCATATTCAATAACTATAAAAGTCTTACAATAAAATTATTTTTATTATACAAATATTGGATAAGAACAAAATTCGATCAATAGTTCATTTATTAAATATTTCAATAACTACACAACAGCAAAATTTAAAAGTTTTTAAGACGAATCCATATTTTTTAAATGTATGATATATAATTAGCCCTAAAGAGGGCTGTTGGGTTTTAGGATTCTTTTATTGAGAGTGATTTAATTCATCTCATTATCAAGTCACCATTTACTTGGCACTTGTATATTTTGTAACAGCTTTTGTACCTTCTGAAACAGCATGTTTAGCTAATTCACCAGGTAACAAAAGTCGAACTGCTGTTTGAATTTCGCGTGATGAAATTGTTGATCGTTTATTATAATGTGATAAACGTGAAGCTTCAGCAGCAATACGTTCAAAGATATCGTTCACAAATGAATTCCTATTTATGAAAAGGAGGAAAAAAAAAATAAAAATAATGATTCATATAAATAATACGATGACTCACATGATCGACATAGCTTTTGATGAAATACCAGTATCTGGGTGAACTTGTTTAAGAACCTTGTAGATGTAGATTGAATAGGTTTCCTTTCGTCGACGTTTTGTTTTTTTTTCACCTTTGGCTCCAGCTGCACCTTTGCTAGTTTTGGTAACAGCTTTCTTTGAACCTTTTGATGGTGTTTGAGCTTTTGGAGGCATATTGAATTTTTGTATTAATCGCTGTTTGACGAAGAACAATAGAATATATGTGAGAGTGAATATGAACAACAATCTATACTTATATAGACCAGTTCACTGACAACATTTATGAACGAATAGAAACACACGATTATTCACATTCTATTGGTTCATTTGTGTGTATATGCATACTGTCTATATATAGAAAAAGAAACGACAGGGTAAAGTTTATCTCATACGTATATCAAGAGCTTATTTACTTTATTAACTAAAATAGAACAATAATGTCAGGTCGAGGTAAATCAAATGCTAGTGTATTAGCTGCAACAGGTGGAAAAACACGAAGCAAGGCTAAATCACGATCAACTCGTGCTGGTCTTCAATTTCCAGTTTCACGTATTCATCGTCATTTACGTAAAGGTAGTTACAGTGAACGAATTGCTGGTGGTTCACCAGTTTATTTGGCTGCTGTTCTTGAAGTATGTTTCTTTTTGCTTTTCCTAAAAAAAAAACTTTATTTTTTTTTTTTTTTTATAGTACTTAAGTGCTGAAATTCTTGAATTAGCTGGAAATGCTGCTCGTGATAACAAAAAAACACGTATTATTCCACGTCATCTTCAATTAGCTGTACGTAATGATGAAGAACTTAATCGTCTTTTAAATCATGTAACAATTGCTCAAGGTGGTGTTTTACCAAACATTAACTCCTTGTTATTACCAAAAAAATCAGCTATTGCTACTGATTCAATGCCAGTCTCATCAGCTGGTACAGTTAAGAAAATCAAAAAAGCCGTTGCTAATGCAGCATCAAGTCAATAAATTATAAAAATTATACATTAAACCCAACAGCCCTCTTTAGGGCTACATTGTATTTTAAATTCATTAAATGTTTGAATGTTCGTTTATACAGATATAATTGATTTTTGATTAAATAATTGAAAAATAAAATGAATAGTTTTAGTTTGAAATCCAAAAAACAGAAGCTTGTGTTCATTTTATGTATCAAGTAGAAAGAATTAATAAAAAATTAATAATAATTAGATGGCATTAACAATATAACTTAACTAGTAATTAGTCAATGAATATGCACTACAGTCATAGCGATAAAGTTCGCCTCATGATATGCAGATTTTATATATTTTACTTCTATAATAAACTTGCGAATTTTTATCTGTCTAAGTAAAATTAATGTTGACATGCTTACACAAGATTAACATACATGAGTTTTTGTACTTTGTCTTTATGACATCATTATTTAAACTTCGCAAGAGAAATTTTTGAAAAAGCAAATAATAAAAAAATCAATGTGTATTATAATGCTTTCTATGACCAATTGTAATTAATAAGATATTTCGTCTCTTTCTGTTTTTGAAAACTTACTATATTCTTGTGCGTTTTCTTTTTCTAATTGTAATAATGTATCAAACATCTGTCTGAGAATTTTTTCGTTCATTACATGTAACACATTTTCAATGCTTCATACATCAACAATATTTAGTATCGCTAACTTTGGATTCTATAGATTCAATAAATAATTGTTATACGAGCCATACGATCAATGTTTGTACTGTTTTGAGACAATTCAAGTTCAATACAAACAATTTAGGATATTTTCTGTTTTCATAACTGATGAATATTTAAGGTCAAATTCACCCTTAGATCAAAAATATTTTAGGCTTAAATGCATTTCTATATACTTGCAATCGTCTATATAGTAAAAATATTGCAAAAAACTTTGTAGGATAATTCATTAGATATATAAATGATAAATATTTCAACCTTCTACATCAAGAAACAGTATAAAAAATGTCGCTGACAATTTATCTTCAGTCATTATGGAATACCATTCGTATTTCACAATTGACCTGAGAAAATTCATTTAAGTTTGGAATGTAAGAATCTGTTTAAAAAAACAAAACTCCTAATAGGAATAAAGCTTTATGAACAAGGTGAACTAATTGACTTAGACAAGAGTCCACAAAATAAAACCACATTAAGCACTATCAATAAAAAATTGTAATATTTTCTCTGGACATTTTTTTCTTTTCTTGTATTATCAATAATTTGGATCTAAAATTTATCAATATGCGTCATATACCAATGATTGTAGAATTAAAACTACAAATGTAAGTTACAATTTCATTAGTGTTTTAAATTTTCATTATGCTCTCATATCATAATTATAAAACAAGTATACGGTGTAATTTACCCTTCTTTTTAAGAAATATCTACATCAATCCACTGTTCAGCTAAACAAATACTCAAAAGAAAGCAACAACATTTTTTTAAAAACTTTCGTCAAACATTCAATGTCTCCCTTCATGCCCCGAGATTGAGAACAAAAAAAAATACATCGAAAATATTTAGTTGATGCAAAAATGGCCATAAGATGCTCTTATGTACCAGAAATAAAAAAAATCTTGTCAAAATATATATATATTTCATACGACAAAATAAATATAGTAGACTTATTATTATTTACATATAGAATAACAATTTAAACTTATGTCTATCATCAAATAAACTTTAAAATACAATTACATCATACTAAAAATAAACAAATTTTTTGTTTATACATTCATTATTTTTTTTTTTATTACAGAATTACAAAATAATAAATGAATTGTAGATTACTTCGAAAGGATTAAACATTTTCGAAAAAAAAACATTTCTACAGTTCTCAAACTTTGAATATCAACATAATGAAATGAACCTTTCAGACTCAAATCAAACCCTTTATGTTTACTTTTAGAGAACGAATTTTTGCATATTGATTTTCATTTTCAATTCAACTATCGTATAAGGTTTGGTCTTTCATAAATTATTAATTTGAAAGTTTCGAGCAGTTATATATTTCAAGTTTGATTTATAATTTTTTAAAATGCAAACTTACATCAACATGAAAAGACAATAAAATTAAGATTAAAATATTCTTAATCTTTGTTTCCAAAGTAAAGTAGACACGATAAACAAACTCTGCATTTACTTTAATAATCGTCAACGAATTAAGACGAACAACATGTTATAAACTTGTTCGAACTATTAACATGGAAAAGAAAATTCTCAAACTTATTTTGATTATACGATGTGTACCAAAATTATTCAACAAGATTGATTTTCATTTTTTTTTTCGATTGTCATAAGCGCTAGAAAGAATTCAAAGAAGCGATTTGAATAGAGAAAATTGTTTCCAAAAAGGAATATAAGGAAATGAAAATTATTCTCAACTTTCCAAAGACAGAAACTCCAGAAAACCAAAAGACGATTAGAGAATTCACTTTTTGACTTTCTATCAGATTGTTGTATCTCAGCCAGGAAATGTCGCAGAAAACTTGATGATATCTCATTTTGTAGAGGTTGATTTGCTCTATCGTTTTATTAAGTCGAAACAAAATTATATTTACTCATTCTTGGTCTTGAAAAACTAGCATGTTGATTTTCTAGAGTCCCTATTTTTGCCAATCTGATAATAATTTTTATTGCCTTATATTATTGCTGGAAATCATTTTCTCTATTCGAAAAACTATTTAGATTATTTGTAACGTTTACAGCAACAAAAAAAAATTCAAAATAAATGTTGTTGAATAATTTTGGTACTCGTTGTATAGCTAGATACTATTTATTTTCATCGATTAAGACTCTGTCTTCACTAGAATATCTAACATTAAATTAAGAAACGGAATTAGTCAAAAAGTTAATTGGAATTAAATCTACTTTTTAGAGACGAATTAAATTTAACGTATCAATGGAGAAAGAATTTGATCTACTAATAGAAATAATGGATGTGCACTGATCGGACGTACAGAATGTAACAACATATGCCTACGCACCTTGGAAGACATGTTTTCCGTTTTGGGAAAAAATATTGAATGTAACATAATTATTTCATGTGAAAAATTCGAATAAAGCAATGTTTCTATTGTATCATGTACAGCATAAACTTCGTACATAACTTTTATGATATATTTCTTAATAGAAAGGATTCAAACAACTTCTATTAATTTCTAAGTAATAAATATTAGATTTTCCTAATATCTTTCTATAGATTAAGGAAATCAATATCTTTTACGTTCTCTTCGAATGTACCAGTGAAAAAGAGAATGCAGCGTTTCCATTATGTTGAAAGTAAGGGAAAGTTTTTCAAGAATTTATCTTCATTCAGAAAAAAATTTCGTTTTAGCGATATATTCTACACCTCAGACCTCGATGAAGCTATTTTATAAATATTGAAAGCGAGAAGTACTTGTCATAATATATCACAAAACTATTGGATGTCCCAAAAAAAAATTGTTCTCTCAATATTTCAATTATAACTCTTTTAATTCTCGACAAAGTGCTATATTTTTTATGAATCAAAATAATATCCATTATTTTGCAACACAAGCTTCAAAAGTATAGTTCAAGATATACACTTTTCTAAAACAATTTCTTGTTGAATTTTTACTATTTCAAGTTCTAGTTCTTCACTAAGATTATCTTTCAATGCTACTTTTTTCCCATTGAGTACAGTAACAAAAATCACCTTACACTGTCCTCTTATGCCAATGAAATCTTCAATCTATTTCAAAAATTTTTATATATACATTTTATTAGTACTTGAATAGCATTATGTATTTACTAAGCATAAAGTAATGTTCCGTGAGAAAAATAACCATTAGTGTCAGATTGAAGATTTCATCAGGACAATACGGAACCTCATATAACTCAATTAACACAATAATCATGTCAGAACAACTTTTATTCTTTTTGTACTCAATAAGAAAACGTAGCATCGAAAAATACTTTTATTGAAGAGCTAAAAGATGAAATCATAAAAAATTGGCAAAAAAGTTGTTTCACAGAAATGCTAACTGTGGACTCTTCGTTTGTACTTTGTTACGGAAAATAATGAGCATTATTTTGATTCATAAAAAACATACCGTTTTACAGAGAATTAAGAGTTATAAATTGAAATATTGAGAAACTCATTTTCCCTGGAACACAAGATACATCAAAATACTGACTGAAAGATAGGTGTAAAGAAAATAGCTTTTAAGGAGATTTTTTTTTAAAGGAAGTATGTGACCAGAACAATAAACATGTTGGCAACAAATTTCGACAATCATTCATTTATTATTGAGTTTAGACAGCAGAAGCGTCAATTCATTTTGTGATGAGTTTTTTATTCGAATTGAATGCAACATTATTTTTCTAATAAAAACAAGACTCAGCATTTTATAATTGATTGGTAAGTGGTTATCATTCAAAAACCCAATCAATGCAAAAAGCGCTACAATCAATATTAAATATTTAACTATTAAAAAGACTTTTCAAAATAATCAAAAATTAATTTTTGATTATAACAAATAATTTTAAAATAAAAAATTTTATTTTAAGAAAAATTATATTTGGAGGTTGAAAAACCGACTATATCCGATCATATCATAGAATGGCTGCCATATGTCTAATGCTCAAAAAGAAAATAATACATAAACTCTAAATAATAAAATATGTCGAATACAAATGAAAATCAATCCGAAATTGATGAAGTTTCTGTATGTTTATTTTCTGTTTCAATTTTTTTCATCTTCTAATTCAATTATTTTTTTTTGCAGAATTCACCACAACCAGAAAATTCAATTTCATCAGTCTCTCAGCAAGATGATGTTCAACAAAGATCAACATCAAATAATCATAATCCTCCTACTCGACAACGTCAATCACCATGGACAATAATCAAATCTTTTCTATTTCGAATATTAATGATTTATCTCGTTACACGATTTTTTCGTCGACCAACAACCGTTCATCCCACAGAAAATAAAACATTACCAATCAATCCAGCAATTTCTAATAGTGCTTATATGCCAGGAAGTCTTTATGCAACTGGTGATTTACTTGTAAGAATATTTCTATTGTTTTCTCAAACTTCAAAACTTGCTTTTACTTTAGGATATTTATATATTTATTAGCGAAGAACAAGTTTATAAATATGACCCAATGAGAAAACCTATTTGGATATTGAATCATTTTCACTATGGAGATTGGACATCAGAAGGAACACATATAAAATTTAATGAGTTTTCTATTTCAGAAGTATGATTTATAAAAAAAAACAATATATTTTAATAAGTTTTAATATTATTATTTAGAATGTAAAAAATAATGGTTCAATTTATTTACATGTTGTTGTAACGAAACATGGATATTCTATTGATCCAAATCAACGTGAATCTCATTCACCACAATATACATTTTGGAAAAGTAAACGTTTAAATAAATATAAAAAGAAAGTTTATAAAAAAACGAAAAATCTTTTAACGGGTAATACTGACCAAGATGAAGAATATCAAAAGGTTAATATAAATATACTAAATAATTCATATTTTATTATAAACAAAAACACGATTTTTTTTTAGAAAGCTGATGATAATGTCGTTGAACTTTTATCACATTGGCATTCAAATATGACAATTAATTTACTTGATGATCAATCATCATGGATAAAGGGCAGTATACCACCACCATTGGATAAATGTAAATTAACAAAAAAGCAAATTTTTACTATCGATAGGAAAGAATTTCAATAGGAAAAAATATGAATAAGGATTTAATTAATGTTTAAAATTATTGTCATAAGAAATGATAATGTATTTTTAATAACTAAATAGAGAATTATTTAGAGTAATATTTAATCACGATTAGATGCCTGATGGAGAGATAGATTTTATTTTACTTAAGCGAGTCTTGATTATAATTAAATTTAGGACGTTTGAAATCATAGGGTAACAAAAGAAGAAAATACCTCAAATTTTTTTTTCTCATTTATCTATGCTATGGATTTATTTGTGTTTGTCTCTGAAATGTCATAATGTGATTAATACATGAACGGCAGTTCTTTATTGTCAAAACACATACATGATCAGATAATCTTTTGTTGCATTGTATCACTTTGATAAAAGTATTGAACAATTTACTTAAAATAGGAACAATGTTAAAAAAACAACTAAAATAGTGACTAAAGGCCGTGCTGTATATAGTTACATACACCGGGACTCTTGATAGATTTTAGAAGAACACACAGCAATTGAAACAAGCTACCTTTTAAAGCTTTGCCGACAGTTTACCCATGACAGCTCAAAATGATAGCAGATACAATGTAATAATTGAGCGGGTACTAGCACATTTCAGCCTTTCACAAGTTGATACCTATAACTGACACTTGTCTAGAAAAATGAGAAAAGAAGGATATAGAAAAAAACGTCTAACACATCTCTAAACTTATCTGTTATACTAACTTTAAGGAAATCGAAAGAGAAAACTTGCCATAGGAAGATAAAGATATGCTAGTTCTAAAACTGACGTACCGCTTTTTCTTTACACATAAAATGCTGGAAAAGAATCACATATTATTCGTGAGACTGAGTTTTCACAAATCATTATTCATTTCTTTTCAATATTTATTACAATCATATATTAAGACCAAATTGTTATTTAGATATTGATTTTGATGTGTATACTGGAAAATTTTATCCAGTTCTTTTTTTGAATGATTATTGGAATCTTCTTGCTGATTATTATCCAATTAATAATACAATCGAGTAGATCATATTTTATATATGTTTTTTTAATTTATAAAATTTCATCGATCTATTTTCTAGTAAACTAAATTTAACAATTACTGTTGCACCAATACAATTATGGAAATGGCAAATGTTTATATCACAAAATATGCGTCAATCATGGTATGGAAATTTATTTAATGATGAACAAAATGATGAAGATCAAGATACACTTAAAGTATACAATAAAAAAAAAATTATTATTTACTTTTGAAAAATAATTCTTCTTCTTTTAGCGTGCACTTGTTGAAACAAATCCATATTTACTTGCAATGACTATAATTGTTTCACTTATACATACAGTTTTTGAAATATTAGCCTTTAAAAATGGTAAGTCTTGAAGAAAGAAAACGAGTGTTAAGCTTACGATACGTGAAGTTGTAGCTCTCTACTTACGACAAGAGAAATAATTATGATTCATACCAGTTTCTTATTGTTTAGATATTCAATTTTGGCGAACACGAAAATCTCTTGAAGGTTTATCTGTTCGAAGTGTTTTCTTAAGTATATTTCAAAGTTTTATTGTCCTATTATATGTATTTGATAATGAAACAAATACTATGGTTCGTATTAGTGTTTTTGTTGGAATAATTATTGAATTATGGAAAGTACCAAAAATTGTTAATTTTGAAGTATGTTTTCTATAGATTTATATTTTTGTCTTTTCATTGCTGTTTTTTTTTTCTTTATATTATTTAGTATTTACCAAATGAAAAATGGTTTGGTATAATACCAAAATATAAATATGTCTATAAACAATCATATAAAGATACAACAACATCGGATTATGATCGAGTTAGTATATGAACAAGTTTTGAAAAAACGAAAAAAAATAAAACAAGAGCGTTTTGTATTTTGATTTAGATGGCTTTTAGATATTTATCATGGCTTTTATTTCCATTAGTTGTTGGCTACGCATGTTATTTATTAATGTATCATGAACAAAAAAGTTGGTATTCATTTTGTTTAAGTACAATTTATGGATTTTTATTAACATTTGGTAAATATAGGATCTATTTTGTTGAAAATCAAACAAACAAAAGGACATTTTTTTTTTCTTGTAGGTTTTATTATGATGACACCACAATTGTTTATTAATTATAAACTTAAATCTGTATCACATTTACCATGGCGTATGATGACATATAAAGCATTAAATACATTTATTGATGATTTATTTGCTTTTGTTATTAAAATGCCAACAATGTATCGAATTGGATGTTTTCGTGATGGTAAAAGAAACCAAAAAAATTTCTAAAAGTTGCTTTAAGAATTTTCTATTTTTATAGATATTATATTTTTTATATATCTTTATCAACGTTATATTTATCCAGTAGATCGCACACGTGTAAATGAATTTGGTACAACAGGTGAAACGGATTCTAGTATTATACCTGTTGACCATGAGATATTAGGAACTAGTCAAGATTCTAATAGTCAAATAGAACAATCAAGGTCAGATACAATAGACGAACAACATGAAAAAGTCGAATAGTAGTTATAGAAAAAAAAAAAATTTTAATAATTTATTGCTGTTGTGTTTGTATTTCAATTTTACCTAATGTTTTTCTTCTCTGTTTTTTTATTTGTATTTGTATTTGTATTTGTAATTGTGCAATATTTGAATCGTAATCTCCTAGTTTTTCTTCAGATTTAATTTTATTCAACAAAAATTATGTACCATCTACGATAATTCAATGCTTCGTTCATTAATTCGTCCAAGCACATGTGTGCGATGTTTAATCAATCGAATTCAATATAATAGTACCAGCAACAGTATGTATCAAAATTTTTATAATTTAAATTCTAGTTTTTTTTAAATTTTTTAGATAAATCTGAAATCGATCCAGGAAACATATTTATTCGTAAAGATGTTCAAGATTTATTAATAAATATAACTGGTTTTGATTTATCACGAATATTTCATCTACGTAATAATAAAAATCTTGATCGTATTGTTTACAAATATTTAACTGATAAACAACTCAAAGAAGTATGTATGTATTTAGATATTTATTTCATTTTTTTATTTTTGTATTTTTTTCCAATTTATATTTTAAATAGGAACAAGAAAAAACAATAGAACGTGGTCGAGCTAAACTTCAAATGCCACCTGTTTTACCTGAAGCTACAGAAAATGTTGAAATTCTTGAAAAAGATGAAATGCTAAGTGGTTTTTCATCTAGTAAACATTTATTTATGGATATATCACTTGGAATACCAATACGAGTATGTTTCTTTAAATAATTGAGAATCAAAAAAAACAAAAACCGAAGATTTTTTAATGAAATTAGGATCGTCTTATTGTCGCTCGAGACGTTGATGGAACATTACGAACAGCAACATTAGATGAAAAACGACGAATGAGACAAATTTATTTTCCTATAGTTGGAAGAGAATTAATTATGCCAAAAACGTTTGAAGACAAAAATTTAGAAGTAATAAAAAACATTATGGACAAGTTTTCTCAAAAATGTTGTTTGAATTATTTAGAAAATTTTAGAACGAGGAGATTATGAATTTATACTTGATCGAGCATGTACTCAGTTTGAACCTGATGATCGAGATTATATACATGTAAGTTATTTATATAGTTTATTTATGAATTAATTCTTAAAAAAGTTATTTTTCTTAGGTTACACATAAAACATATGAACATATCGATCAAACAAATTCTTTTGATGTACTTCGATCAACAAGACATTTTGGTACAATGGCTTTTTATTTTGTTTGGTTTAAAAAAATTGATCGACTTATGAACGATATGATTAGACGGAATTTGTAAGTTATTTAATTAGTTTTATCTTAAAGTAATTCTCAAAAAACACAAATAGGAAATATCGAAATAATAATTAAAGAATTCTTGTTAGAAGTCAATTATGATTCTAAATAAAAGTCTTATATAATCTAAAGAATAAAGATACTAACTTGAACTTATTGGTTGACACGATGTGATATTTTAAAAATTATTATAAATAGTGCTAATTCAATAGTAGATGTCTCGGATGTTTTTATTGACCAAAACTCTCGTCATCATAGTAAAAATATTAAACTTTGTCACATTAGGATGCTCAACATTGCGCGCTCTTTCATTCCGTATACCCCACAAGAAAGAAAATAGGATTTACAAGGGAAGTTCTTCAACTCATGAATCGCTTTCGAGTTGAGATTATGTTCATCATATAGGCTCAAATGAGTTTTGAAAACTCTAAATAGAGCTCAAGTTCTTAGCTTATTGCTGCGTATGTATGATTGTTTTTAAATGAATGTCGTAGTTTTTATCAGGAACACCAGAAAAGCTTATTTTCGAATTTCGACTTGGAACTATGTATAGAGGTAGACCTCAATTAGAATAGTTTTTTTTTGTAAAAGTTTCAGGTCTTTCGATTTACTTCTATTCTAAAATAAAAACATCAAATTTAACGTTACATGTAAACGATGTAAAAGACACGCTTTTATCATAACTGCATCTTAACTTAGAAATAACGACAATATTAGAATCATTCACAAGAAACTATTCTTATCAATGCCTGTCTCTGTACAAGCTACTAATGCGACTTGGTTGTGGGCAGGGTTGTCGATATTTTTTAGGAGTAGGAGAGAATAATGAAATCTACCGTGATTCGTCTCCCTTCCGAGCAACAACACACTATCTGCTTATTTTCATTTCACTTTTTGCTACAGAAATACAACTGTTATTTCAAAATCCGATTTCTGTCTAAAGTTACCACGAAGCGGTAAAAAATTGGAAGAAAGTCCTACATTTTCGGGAACGGAAAAAACTCTCCCTGATTGAGAACCGTGGGTACGGATGTTATCAAAGAGAAGACTCAAACACCCACACAACATCACGATATTACAAGCACGAGAAATATGAACTTTTCAATCTGTGATGGTGTTCAATACTTGTTCTCAGATAATGTGGCAGTTACAGAGTACATAGTGATCATTATCTCAGATGCCAACAAAAATTGAAAATGAGTTCTAGAGATTTTTGCTAAGTCTTATCAAAACTAACTTAGTAACATTTGCGAAGTTTTGTGCGAAAAGATTAAGTTGTGTAAACACAATAGAAGTTCTGGAACTTCTATTTCGAGAATGGTTCAATTTATTTGATTCTCAATAATGCGCTTTGTTTCTACTCAAAAGTAATTTATCAGTTGGAAGACTTCTCTCGTCAGCACCTTCAGAAGAAGTCATCAAACCGTATCTCTGGACAATAACTAGACTTAATTTTAGGTTCTTGTCGTTCTATTGTTGAAGTTTTCATGTATAGTGAACGGATCATTTCAAAGATTAACCATAAATAATTTGTTTGATGTTAGTCTATAGCCAGACAACAGAAATATCAATAAAGTATATTCTAAACCTCATAACTTCTGTAACAGACATAAAAGATTTTTCTTGAAAAAATGTTTGCTTAGTCAATATGCTTTATTGCATATTCCTTTCCTATACTTAAGTAGCCTTCAAAATTGTTAAGCATTCCTCGATTAAAAAGAGATCGACTTACGCTTAATTTCATGTTTTCTATCAAAATAGACATATCGAAAATTTAATAAATTTATTCTTTTTTTAGAATAAACGATGCTGTTTCGCTTCTTCAACTCTATGCAATTGTACATCCAAATTCCAAAGTTGCTGAATATAACTTTAACGATGCAAATCCTCACGATCTTATTCAAGTATTTAAGAGAAACATGAAAAAAAAAACTACTTTTATTTTATTTTTCTTTCTTAGGCATTTATTGAGAATGAAGCTCGAATACCAGATTTACTTAGTGAAGCACTTCGTCAATACGTACGAAAGACTCAACAAGCTATTGCTAATGGATAATTTTTTTTGCATAGTGTTTAGAAAATAAAATAAAAGACACTTTCTTTATGGAATAAGTTTTTTTTTTTATGCTATTACTTCTTGTTTTTTTTTCAGATTTACGTGTATTTAACATACATACACAAATAAAACAGTCAACATGGTTCATATGAATGTCCTTGCTGATGCTCTTAAATCAATAAATAATGCTGAAAAACGTCATAAACGTCAAGTTATCATTCGACCATGTTCAAAAGTTATCGTTAAATTTCTTACTGTCATGATGAAACATGGTAAAACACAAAACTTCTTCAAATAATTTTTTTTGTATATAAAAATTTATATTTTTAAAGGTTATATTGGTGAATTCGAAATAATCGATGATCATCGCAGTGGTAAAATAGTTGTTAATTTAAATGGTCGTTTAAATAAAGTATGAATAAAAAAAAATTAATTTTAGTTTTTATATTCTTTATTTATTCTAGTGTGGTGTTATTAGTCCTCGTTTTGATTGTCCTATTCGTGATATTGAAAATTGGACAAAAAATCTTTTACCATCACGTCAATTCGGGTATTATTATTGAATTATTTTATTATTGAATTATTTTTTATTTATAGATATGTCGTATTAACAACATCACATGGCATATTAGATCACGAAGAAGCTCGACGAAAACATACAGGTGGCAAAGTTCTCGGATTTTTCTTCTAAACAATTTTCGAGATATATCTAAATTTGATTAACAAACAAAATTAAACAATAACAACAACTATATTAATTTTGTTTTGTTTTGTTATTATCTGAAGAAAGAATAAAAAATAAAAAAAAGAAAACGAAAAAAATAAAGATATATGCGTTCTTTTTAATCTTTGTATATATATATATATATATTATCGAGTGGTCAATTGATACTTCAGTTTAAGAAGGTTATTGTCACTTCTACTTGACTTCAATAGAATGACTATCTGATGAAGACGATTAGATCCCGTTTCATCGAAAAATAAATTCTAATTAACAATGAAGGATAGATTATATCATTTGATGACATTTTTTCGTCATACTAATCAGAAATAGTACCTAATTACTTGTAGACAAATTTGTCAAAATGAAAATTTATTATAGAGCAGGTTTAAATATATAAATAAGAAATTATTAAGAGAAAATATGAATGTAGAAAAGAAAATAATCAATCCTTTTTTTTTTTATTCCAATTAATCGCATAACTTTTTCAAAATATAATGATATTGTTCTCTGTAAATTTTTTTCACTGAGTATGGTAAATCTTCAATACGCCATTTTAAATTCATTCTAAATTCTTCCACTTTACATTTCATTTCATCATCATCATAATTTTGTGATTTCTTCATGCTTGGTGAATTTGTACCATATTGTATAGCACATCCAGGACATGAACGATTTTCACATTTCCAATAAATAGTTGTGTTTAAAATTTTATCTTGTGTGTAGCGAAAAGTATCAAGTAATAAAGTTGGTTTATTACGTTTACTTTCAACAATAGATAGTATCATTTTGTGTAATAATGAATGAATATAACAAACAAAACAATGAATTTTCCCTTTTTACTCCACATATATATACTTTTGCAAAATTACAGATTATTAGTATACGGATATCAATTAGTTTATTTTTAAGGAGATAGTTTAAATCAATCAAAGAAAATTGAGTTTATCACTCTGATTATACTCTTTTTCATTACAAATTAATTTTTCGAAAAAACGGAAATCTACCGATGAAGACAAATAAGAGAATATAAATTCTATTTTCATTTGATAAATAATGAAGATCTTTTTTTATCTCCTCCTCCTCTTCCTCATCATCATTTTTTTCTCTTCGTAATTACAATTTGATGAACATATCGAATGCATAGAAAAGAAAGAAAAATCTTATATACATACACCTTCCGGTTCTTTATGTAAATGTATCGATGTCATTCTTCAATATTCTTCAAGCATCTACGGAAGTTATGGGAACTCAAACGGTAAGTCAAAAAAAAAAAATAACTCAGAGAACACATCATTCCATTCGTTTCCGCTTTGTATGTACGGAACAAAGGCATCAATGTCATTTCCGGTTATATAGCTTGAGATGACAAAAGTACGCAACGATATCTATATATATTTGTATATATATATGTATGCGTCGCTATTTCATGACACTTTATTCTATCTACTTCGTCGTTCTCTTGCGTATATGATGAATCGTCTTTGCACGGCTGTCATTCGGTCCCCTGTCAACATTAGCAATCATCGATCAATTTTCTTACATTTGCTCAATAATGAAAGAGCAAATTTCAATACTTCATTATTGTCTCGTCATTTTTTTGTTTTTTCAAAGAATAAATATTAACTTCAACAAACAGAATATATCTTTTTTTTTCTCTTTTATATCAATATAAATCAAACAGCTTATTTTTAATAGACATGCATACAGATGATTGAATAATTTCTAACGATGGTAAGTGAAAAAGATAATAGCATTTCAATGTTCTCTCGTATTCGTCTCATTGATAAACAAGAATTGCTATTGTAAAATAATAGAATACGAAAAAAAAACACCTAACTTAATCGTCTTTTTTCTTCACGTCTAATACCGACTAAATTTTACATATGATAAACTACTAATTCATAGAAAGAATAAGAAACATTGAATATGTATGTTTACTCAAGATATTCGTATTACTTCAATGGATTATATGTGAACATGATTATTAGCATATAACAACAAAAGTCTATTGAATACGTATAAGCTTGAGGGAACTTATTTTTCTTTGACTCACTTATATTTGATGATGAGTAGATAGCATTGATTGTGTAATATACATGTTTTAAGGACTAAAGGCGCGTTCATTTTTTTTTTTTTTTTTTTGAATCTTGATATACGTATAAATGATCGTATTACTGTCTGATAAATAACATATCTATAATACTATTGAGAACTGTTTTTATTTCCAATAGTCAATTATTATTATGATAAATATAAATGAGATTAACGAACATTATTGTTATCAAAACTAAGTGATTTGATTACAATCCTGCTGTGATTTATATGTTATCTTTTTAAGTTACGGCATTTGACATCAAGTAATCGTATGCATTGGTATTTATAGAAACATTGATATCAATACATTATCTTTGATTGTTTTTATTTACGATAGTCTTAGACGAAGAAAAAAAGACGCACAGATTATTACTTGTTATCTTGAAAAAATTCGAGAGCGTGAGAAAAACATTCATTCATTTTTTAGTTTGTCAACTTAAGTACGTATAAATGTATATGGCAGCTGTGACATTTTCAAGTCAGTCATTTCAGTCTATGCCACTCATATAAGACTAGACGAATAACTCTGTCGATAGGCATGGTAATAAGAGACTTGTATAGACTGAGAACGATGACAATGACTCTTGTTACTCGATACAAACTATATGCACACACAAATATGATTGTACTTGTTGTTGTTTGATAAAGATGCGTATAGACATATGACACGTTCATTATGAAGAGAAGTGATTGTATTTGTACGATGCCGAAAATGAAATCTTACAGTTTCTCTTAGTGTTTACTCAAATAATAAGAATTTTTTTTTGTCTTGAAGTCATACAAGTTCAAAAGAATAACTTTTTCAACTAGGTAATAGTAAGAAAATTAACTTTTAATTATCGTTTCATGTCACTTATATTTTTTTAATGCATGTCTCATTTTTTTAATTCTTTTTATGTCCATTCATTTCCATGAACCAAAAAGAAAAAGTAGATTTGCACTAACTTTAAGTAATGCATTCAGTTCAGAATAAAACTAAATGTGAAAAGATGTACACGTTTTTCTCATACTTTATTAACCATAATGGTATGTGACACAACAGGTCTATTATAGTCACCATTTTTATGGCATTTTTTAGAGAGAAAGAGAATCTCGCTCTTTTTCTCTTAGACACTTTCTCTCTATGTCTGTCTGTCTCTCTCTCTAGACCAAACATCAAACGATAAAGAGTAACAAATTGATCGGTTGACAACTAATAAAACGAAAAATGATAGGATATTTTTGACGTTTTTATTTATTATCGTTTTTCTAAATAACATTTAATGTTTATATGTTTGCAGACCAATTGCTTGATATATAGCTGAATCTTTGCTAATGATTCTTAACATTTATTCTTTATTTTTTTTTTATTATCTGTTTTCAGATACTTATGCTGTAGAATGTAACTAACAATCAGTTTGAATAACAGATCACAATCGAATAGACCTGTATATACATAAATCGGTTTCATTTTACAATGACATCAAATTCGACACATAAAGATTCTATTCGTTCATCATCATCAATAATAGTTTACGATAATTATCCAAAGAAATCTTTACTATTATCTTGTTGTGGTTGTTCTCGAACATATAAAAACTCTCAATCATTACTAAGAACAGTAGAAGATACAAATTTAAATGAACAAAAAAGTTTTTTCAAACGAATACAATTTTTTAAAGGTTTGAAAATAATTAAATATGAATAGATGACATAGATTTTCTTTTTCTTCCTAAATTCGATGAGAAAGGGAGATTTTTTTGATTACATTTGATACAAGAAAAATTAGACGGTATCCATCATCTAGAACTCTTGTGACAACTATTTGTATAAAATTAAAGATTTTTGATCTAGATTAAAAGAACTAAGGAATTTTCTATGTTTTATCTATCTAGCTCGAAAGCGAAAACGTTCGCTTGTTAAACAACAGAAAGAAGCAGTATCGTCCGAACTAACAGCTTCCAATGATCGTCTTGTAATTGAAACCGAAAAATTACCCAACGATAATGATGAACGACAATCAAACGCCACTATACGATCATCATCTGAATTTCATAATGATTTATTTCTAAAATATTCTTATCATCATCATCGTTCACTACGTAATTCTCACTCAATACCATTTCTTAATCAATTTGACACTATTCGCAATTTAAATAATAGTATTGATTCATATTCATTGACTGACATTGAAGCAGTATCATCAATAAATGAAGAAAAAACTGAACAAAAATATATTGATCAAAGTACAACACCAAAAAGTATTATTTCTCATAATTTTTCATTAGCAACAACAAATCTTTCTACATATTCAACTCAAAGTTTACTTCGGAAACTTCTCGATAAGGCTCAACTTTTAGATGAATATTATAATGATATTGTTAATAAAAACACAAATAAACCAAAATCATCTCAATCATCATCATCGATTTCATTACTAGGACGATCAGGTGCAACATCACGTTCATTTCTTTATCGATTTCAATCTAATGATAGTTTTAAAAAATCATCAAGAAGAAAACATCGTCATTTTAATGATAATAAATCATCTGATAGTTCAAGATATAATTTATATTGTGATGAAGACAATATATTACGTGAATTAATACGTTTTAATAATGATATTGATCTTATTTTATCACGTCTTGAAATGGAAGGTGAAAATTTACAACAACAAATAACTAATCATTCATTATCTGATGAAAATCTTATTCAACAAACAATCATCAATCCAACTGATGATGCTATCCTTGATGTTAGCCCACAAATCAATGATCAGTAAGTCTTTCTTTCTCTCTTTTTTTTATCAATCTATCTTTTCTTCTTATCTATGACTAATATAAATATTGTTCGATGCATGTGTTGAGCGATTGAGATATGATTATTGTCAAATATCCGATCAAGATGAAACTAACTATGTTGTACATCATTTGCATTCATAATGATCATTTAACTGTTTTGGTAAAGTGAAATGATATATTATCCAATCTAATAGATTGTCCATATATCGAAAAAGAAAAGAAAGAAACATTAACAAAATGATTCTCTTTAAACAGTGTATGTAAGAAGCTGCTAAATCAATATTTGTCTCTCATTTATAATAAATAAAAAAAAAAAGTACAACATTACTCATATACTAGCAACAGTCGTCTATCTCGAGCATCAGTTGTCATCAACAATACAATCGATGAGTGTTGTAGTATCAAGAGGTAAATGTAAGCACGAATCACCTGCAGCAAAATACACTAAGTAAAAGAGAAGAATACTACTTCAGATGAAGGTTGCTACTTCTATAATTCACTGTCCTTTTTTTTTTTTTCGTCATCTGTTTCTTTTTACTACTTATTGAAATACTTCACTGATCACCAATATGCCCAATTCATTATTGACATGATCTTCAGTCACATTAATTCTAAAGAGATAGACAAATCAATTTTTTGTTAAGTATCTATCAGTAGATATATAGTTTCTTTTAAGCAAATAGTTAAGTGTGTTATCCTAGTTTATCTTTTTTGATAAATTTTCCCAAAAATATTCTCTCCTATTAGTTATTAATAACTGAGTTGCTTATCGTAGAAAAATGTAAGTAAGAAAAAGAAGAAGTAAGCAATACTCCTAATATGCGTTGTTTCTCCTTATTACTCATATTCAATTATGCTAGCAAGAAGAACGGTTAGCACAAAATGAATAATGCATTCATTCATTGTACATTCTGATTAAAAGTGTTCTGTAACTATAAAACATACATTTCTATTTGTATACCAATCATTATAATCTTTTTTTCTTTGTTATTACTGTTGTGCGAGTCAACAACGACGAAATCGAAGGTAATGTGCCATAGACAACGACGTAAGTCGATACAGTCTGATAAAAAGTTAGGCACACACACACACATATATATATAACAACCTATGTCTGTCTCTCTCTTAGGGTACTGATGGTGTCTTTTAGTCGATTGGGCATGTGTGCGGAATAGTTGCGTCATAAAGATCTGTCGTCAGTCGATGTATAATGATACAACAAATTTTCTTTTTCTTCCTTCTTTTTTTATACTCATCAGGATTAATATTCTTCTATCAGTAAGAATATAACTACAGTAGACAGTAACTTGTTTTCTGTTATTCTATTTCGATTAATTGAATTTTTGAAAACTTTAAATGCCTCGAGAAACTTTTTCTTCTTCGTCTACTCTTTTCATAAGATGACCTTCAATAGACATGAATCAATAGGCTTCTTTTTTTGTATGAACAAACAAAGCCAATATTCCAATGTAAACGACTCTTTTTTTTCAATTAATTTCAATCAAGTTTGAAATATTGAATCACTATAGATTTTTTTTTTCATTTTAGAGAAGAAATTGAACAGAAAAATTTAATCGAAATAATAACAATGCATACCGATAATAATGAAATAAATATTCATTTACTTTTATCAAATGATATTAATCGTTTACGAGAAACAGGTAAATGAAAAAAGAATTTCTATTCTTTTCTTTGTTTGACATTATTTTTATCTTAAAGCTTTATCGAAATTATTAAAAATGACTCAAGAAAATTGTAATTCAGATAATGTACATAATTATGAAATAATGTAAGTAGTATGTCAAAGTCTATTTAGAGTAATGGACATAAGTTTTCTTCTTCTCCCAAGCAGATCATAGCTTCCATATATGCAGGAGATCTGGAAATTTGTACGCACATACTCCACTAAGTAGGTCAAAAGCATGAGATCGCCCGAGTAGCTTTAAATGCAACGAAAATTATCATGGACGGTGTCTATTTTTGCTCCAAGCTTTTTTAACTTGGCAAAGCTGTCTAGTAAATTTTGTGTTATCTTTTATTGAATGCATGACTAATTCTTGATATTTTTATTTGCAACTGAAACGCAATATATGATCTTTCGTCAATCAAAAGATCATATAATTTACTACAAGATTGTCATCTCTGAATGCCTTTGAGCTCTTGGCACCACCATGACGATCTTTAGTATGCTGTTTCCCTTTAGGAGAAAACTCTTCTTCCTAGACTTAGCTATCATCCTAACCAAGTTTTATGAGCTTCGATGGAATTAATAGCGTACGTAACTGAAACATAGTCATAAACAATGACAGATCGGTTGATCCATAAAACATTTTCTTTTCTGAAGTATACAGTTCAAAGGAGAAATAAGTGCTATCCATTACCATCCATCATGATTTTCTTTCTGTTACACCAATTGCGACAAGCTTATGGCTCTAATCTATATTCTTGGTAGATTATATGTAAACGAATTTTCAGACCTTCAGTACTTATGGTAGCTGAGATCTGTTAGAGTAGACAAGAAACTTTTATCTACTACTGTAGCTTATTTTTTGTCATACTTATTTAATTAGAACTCTTGTAAAATTAAATAAACTTCCGAAATCTACAACATGGAAAGGCAAACGTGTATTTGGTGTTCCATTACGTATTTATCAACAAACAACAGGACATATTCTACCAATATCAATAATAAATGCATTACAATATATTCGTATACATGCTGGTAAATGTGATGGATTATTTCGTAAGCCTGGTGTTAAATCTAAAATTGATCATTTACGTACACAAATTGAAACAACAAATGACTATTATGGAGAAACACTTTTAGAAACAATTAAATTTGATGAATATCAACCATTTGTTGTTGCTGATGTTATTCGACAGTATTTTCGTGAATTACCTGAATGCATTATACCACCATCAATAACACGTTTATTATGTGATTTACTTAAATGTAATAAAGTTTTTTTTTTCTTTTTATTGAAAAATAAAAATTTGAAATTATTTGTTTGTAGGTATATCACAAGAGGAACAATTATTAGCAATACGTTATACATTTTTAATATTACCTGATGAAAGTCGTGAAGTACTTGAAACAATTCTTCGATTTTTACTTGATGTTTCAATACGATCAGGAAATAATCAAGTAAGACGAAACAAAAAATAAAAGAAATATTCTATATTTCATTTTGTCTTTATTATAAAGATAACTTGTCGAAATTTGGCACGAATTTTTCTGCCATCAGTCTTTCAATCTTTTTATGATATGCATCATACATCATCAAAAATTCTCTGGTGGAAATGGAAAAAAGAGAAATTTGATACTATTCAACAAGAAAATGAACGATTATTATTAGAACATTGTCTTATGACAATGATACTTAATGTTGATTTACTTTGTAGAGTATGAGAATAGCAATTTTATCTTTACTTTTATTTGTTTGTAAACTTTATGCATCTATAGGTTCCAAGTGCACTCAGTGATGAACTGAAATTGCCGTCAGCAAGAAAGACACAACGACTTGATGAACTGATCCGTAATGCGTGTAATGGTGAATTTCATATGAAGAAATATATTTCTAAAAATTGTGAAGAATTTCTTCAAGTAAAAAAAAAAACGAATAAATAAAAGATAGTTATATTTATTCATACTATAATTTCGTATATTTATAGCGTTTGTCAAATACAAAATTTAAAAGTGTTCAAACAAATATTGATGGTGTTAGTCTATCTATACATAAACCACCTTTAACATCAACATTGGATACAAATAAACATAATTTACCAACATGGAAATGTTCAATTGATATACCAAATACAAATGTAAAACAAGTTTATCAAAGAATATTAAATGAATGTTATTTATGGAATAATCATTTTGCTGAAAGTCGTACAGTAGAAAAAATTGATGATGACAAAGAAATAGTGCAATATGTTATAAATTTACTTGATTTTGTTCCTGTTCGATCGTTTTGTGAATTTCGGTAATAGAATATTTTTTTTAATTCAATTCTTAACAAAAATGTAATTTTCTTAAAATAGTTTTTTCAAAAAAGTTACATTACGTTCAGCACCTGATGCGAATGCAATGCTCATTAGTGCAGTATCAATTGATCATTTACAAAATCATTTTCTACCGGGTAGTATTGGTGTTACTTATGATATGCATTATTATATAAAACCATCAACAACACAGCATGGTCATACAACAGTTACTCAAGTTGCTTGTGTAGATTACAGGTTTGTAAATTTTTGCTTTGTTTATATTTAAAAGAAAATAAATTATTTTTCGATTTTTTTCAGTGGCCGATCAACGCAATGGTATGAAAATGTATATGGTTCATTATTAGCTCATAATCTTATGTCATTACGAGATACATTTTCTAATGCAAAAATTGTTCGAGTTTGAAACTTTTTTAGAATTGATAAATGTCTTCATTGGCATTCCTTATATTGAAAAAAAGAAGGAATATATTCATTCTTCTTTAATGGTTTTCATTGTCAAAAGGTTTTTAATTGCATATGACTGATCTCCTAATATTATAAAAGGAGAGATGTTCTATTACTTAATCCTTGCTCTTTTCTCAGGATACCGTCCTTTATTATTTTTCTTGACAAAAAAACGATATGCAATCCTTTATACGCATTTAACCTTCTTTTTTCTGTTTGTTATTACTTTTCTTTCATTATCGATTTTTAATGTGAATACACGGAACAAAAAGAAAAACATAAAAGCACAACAAATAATACTTGTAATATAAACTCAAACCATACACACATAAACATAATATGCGTCATAGATAATATCTATCACACCGGTTACAAAAGAAAACTTTAAACAAGTGCTTCTTTTGTTTCATTGTATTTTATAATACACCAATGTTGTTTATTTTTTGGACTTTGTTTTATAATTGCCATTGGTTTAGTACGAATACTTCGACGCTGACATGACATTGATGAAAATGATTTTACACTATGACGTAAACTACTAAAACGACGCAATGTAGCGGGAGGAGTTTCAGGGGGGCTTAAAATACATATTGCTGTTGTATGATGAGCTTGAGTCAAATCGTAACAGGCTGAACGTTTACTATAACATGTGCCCATTTCTTTCTTTTTTGTTTTCTCCAATTAAACTAGTTGAAACTAAAACGTAAGATAGAATATGATAAGAAATTTTGAGTTATAACAGACGCACATCGTGTTGTTGTTTGTCAATCATTACCATCATTGATTATGAATTAATAAAACGTATGTGACCGATGAATCTTGTCGGCTGTCAAGGTCACTTATGTATACAGTACAAAAAAAAAAGAGTGACACTATGCACACGTACGGTCAACTATAACACCTTTACCTGATGGCGATCGAACGAAGAAAAACACCTACTCTTGTGTTCTCTTCTTCTAAGAGAGAAGAAAGAAATAAAAGAATAAGAGAAGGCGACCTAACTATCGATAGAAGGCAAAGAAAAAAGGAAGAATTTCTTTCTATACCAATGCTACAGGCATTAAGCATATACAAAATCAATATCTTAGTCGAAATTCAATTTGAACATTACAGTCATTAAGCAAAGTTCATTTGATAACATATATCAATAATACATATTGTCTGTTTGATAGAACATGGGTAAATATCAAAAATATGTACAAGATGTAAGCTTGACATATAAAAATATGATAAATTGTTAATAGATTAGTTCATTTTTTGTCATGAAAAACTAACTCTAAAATGATTTAATCATTTTCAATTGTTTCAATTGTAATTCAACCTGAAATGTTATGTGAGCAATATGATTTATGATTTAGTTTATAAGCTTATCAGCAACGTTGTGTATATTGAGAAATTGATTATTCTTATTTCACTGTTGGATGACTATGAACTTGTGTATATTTATCAAATGCAAAAATTTGATATCGTTATTTCTTCTTGAATAAATTCGATAAGCATTTATTCATTCAATCAGTTCAATATATTGATTAAAAAGATATAAATCAAAGGTATTTGCTTTTGAATATTATTTTCAATACGATTAAATCAAAATAAAAGAATTTATACAAATTCATTTATTGAACTTAATAACTTACGCTTTCGAGAACTGAGAATAATCTGACAAATATTCAAAAATTATAGTGATCTTTATTTTGAAGAATTTTTATTCGATAAAAATATTTTCTTTGTTTACACACATTTAATTGAGAAAACAATGTCTAATTTATAGATTAAAATAAAAGACTTCGTTTGGATCAAACACGCTTATCTTTTCGTAACCATTAATATTTTAACGATAGCAATAATAAAACCGAAAATATTGTAGAAGGTAAAAAAATATATAATGATACAACAGTAATTTCGTTAACAAGTGTTTTTGCTCCTGATGTTTGGACTACTGCTGCAGCGATAGCTTCAATTCTAGTTGATTCACTGACAGTTATATTTGCAGTTTTACCTATTCCAATAACACTTTTTACTACTATAAGATCTATGATAGTGATAGCTACAATATATACATATGCTAGAAAAGCACTTGTAATTATCGTAGCATGAAAAGTTACACAAATTCTAGATATATTGATTGCAGTAGCAGCTCTAGTAACTACAAAAGTCATGACTACTACTGTTGTATCAGCTGCTTCAAGCAACTGCAGCTGTTCCTTCGATGAGATGAATATTTTTCACAAAGGAATTTAGAAGTCAAATGATGATGAAGTTGGTAACAGCCATTTGACTTGGTTAGAATGAAGAAGTTCTGCCTTTTTTTAGGTACTATATAAGGAATATGTTTCTTTTCTATGATCTTCTTTGAAAAAATATCTGTTGCACATTACTTATATATTCTCCTTGTCGTATTGCATAAAATAAAATATGGAATTCTTGTTCATTATCTTGCTGTTGTATGAAATATTATAGACCTTTGCTCTCAAATTCAAGTTGAAATTTTGATGTGTTTTTGCTTTTTTCTACTTTTTGTATGCCATAAAAGATATTTATTACGCATTAAGACTATGGTCACATAAAGGCCATAATACGCTACAATTAACTCTGTTTTTAAAAGACGACAGCTGTTAACGAATAGAAGTGATGACACATTTTATGCACACGTGATACTTATCTTATCTTGATTTTTCTTTATATCACTGCGACTTATTTCTCATATTTTTCTTATTTGAATATTTACATATACATCGTAGTTATCGATTACCAATAGGGATTTAATCAACTGTACCTATTTACCTAGTTATAAAATGATATGGAGATCGATTTACCAACTGAATGTTTATTAGCGATGATATTGAACATGATCACTATTTGGTGAGATGGTCAGAAAACAAAGTATGATTATTCATAGATACTAGGACAACTTACAAATAATGACTCATTGTCAAAGAAACCTATATATCATATTAAGAATGCAAAGAATTACCAAGAAGTCAACACAAAAGATGTTGATGTCAATAAAGAAGAGGACAATAACATCGAATAACTTTCATCGAACACAAATATCAAGAATAGCACATCGGGGGTTAGTTATTAGTGTGCTTGATAGACATTAAAGATGTTACTTTTCTTTATAAATGCATTGTCATCAATGACAAATATATAGTCTGTGTGAAAAATCCGCCTAGAAAAAAAATAGATATCTTGTAATCCATTGGAGTGATTTACAATTTTTTTATATGATAATGTTTTGCAAAGTTCTATTTTATATAATTTGGTTTAAAACAAATATTCAAGAGTTAAATCATCAACTGAAATATGAAAATCTATCATTTTCGCAGTATTTGAAAAAAAGCACTACAGAAAGTTTATTTCTGTTATTGATTATTATTTTGAATTCAACCAGATCAATATATATGTTGAATATCCATTGATTTTCATTTTATCTTTATCAATAAATGATATGAATAAAAAGCAGCTTCGTCCGAAGACAACGAATTTTCTTGACTGTTTATGTTCTTCAGCATTAATATAAAAGTTATATTACTTTAATACGATCTTGTAAATTTATTCGTAAAGTTGGTCGACAAATTATGCCTGGTATGAGTTCATTAGAAGATATAGTCATAATTAGATGTGCTGCTGTTTGTGGAATGAAGCAGGCTGTTGCAATAGTTCGAAACATTCAATAGTGGTGCATGTTTGCAAATGCTACGAATTTTCTTGATTTTGTCTTTTTGTAAATTGTGAAAGTCTTTCAGAGCTTTGTAAATTTACTACTCTACGTATATTTGACAATCGCATTGAACGTTATCTCTAGTACAGTCTACTTCTGATATTTACATGTAAAATGTCACCATTAATACAACTATCTGAATTTTATATCTGCATGCACAGATATTCATCTGAAAATAAATATAAAATAGAACTTAGAGGAACATACTATTATCTTATCAAAAAACTCTATAAATGGCTGAAATTAATTAAAATATATTCATGTTTTTTTTCACGGCAGACTTTTGGGACATCCTGTACTTCAATTGTTATCTATGGCCTTGTCATTGCTTTTATTGAATCTAAAATTTTTCTTGCATCACTGTCTATAACTGTAAAGATTACAGTAGACGTAAAAATGACTCAAACTTTAATCTTTTAGTGTGAAATAGTTTTAGTTTGTCTGATTTATGACGTATCCTTTGAGAAATCTTCACGTGAAGGTTAATGAGAATCGTCGAAAAATGGCCGGTATCTCTGCCTAATTTTAACTATTTGCCTTGAAAATTTCTCTAATGAATGCCCTACCCTAATCAAGTTTTCCTCTTAAAACTTCACAATCGCAGCCGTCAATAGAGAAGAGGTCGATCCTGAGATCGTCCCAGGTAATCGAGACTTTTTCAGGACTCAAGTATACAACCGGATTGTAGTACCCTATCTTTGACACAATGTAGACATGCAAATCTTTATCATATAATAAGAACATGGAGGTTAGAGCATTTAAATACTGGAAAATCAGAAAAGTGTCAACAAGAATCTTTTTTGGGCTCTGGAGAAAAAATAGTGTTTCCATCTTAAGTTCCTTGCATTGTAATCTATTGACTTCAGATCGCTGCTTATGTTCAGAATTTATCGAGTTCTATTTGTATTCAAAATATTAGGCAAATGGATTGAAGTTTCGTGTACTTTTTAGCGGATGGTAGGACTTCTTGTGAATGATATAGTGCCATGAATGCAAGCCGGCATACTGGAACAACAGTAGCAGTCGTTATTGGTATTATAGTAGTATCACATCATCAAGTAGTCTTTTGTCTGTAATATTATTTATGCTTTATGTCCTTAATGTTATATGAAAGTTAATGATTGCAATGAAGTTGAGCATCAACAAACATTTGTACGTGCCAAAGTTAAGACGACTTGCTCTCCCCTTTCCAGAGTTTCTGAAGGATAGTTCATCAGAAATATTTGACACTTTCAGAGTAAATAGATTTCAATGAGTAAAGCAAAAGTTGTCATAGACTTCAAATTCTCAAATATTCCCTTCTAGGAAATATCTGGATCACAAAGACTATAAAGCTTTGCACTTTCTCAGTCGTAATACGTCCGATAGAACTAGAATTTTTCTTTTTTTGTTTTTTACAAATACTTGACACTGTTTGCGATGCCTAACATTTTTGATTTCTTCTTGTCTCTTTTCATTCGAAATAAAACATCAAAATACTGAGTATACCTCCAAAAATATGTTTTTTTTATTAGAACTTTTTTTTGTAAATTTTGTAAGTTTCAGCTCTATCAAGTATACAATGTTGAAGAAATGCTCTCAGTATCTTCAGAATAAGAAATAATCATTATCATTAAGAGAATTGTGCATTTAAAGAATAATCAAAGTGCAAATTTTTCTGCTAGAGATTCGAGATTTAATAAAATCACTTACTAACAATGGCGAGTCATTATTTTTATAGCATTTGACAAAGTACATTTCAAGGCTATATTAACAATGAAAAATCAAAACTCGAAAAAAGAAAATTTCGATTTTAATATATGAATAGGTAGCATTCCCTTCGATTGGAATATTATTTACTTTTTTAAATAAATAAAAAAGAACCAATATTTGCATGAAGTTTTTTTTTATTGACAATCAGTTTGAGTGATTGTTAGGATTTATTTTTAATGCATTCTCTGATTATAGATATCCCCTAAAAATGTTTGTCTTCTTTGGTTCATATACTTCATTTGCCATCTAAAGAATAAAATAAAGCACTAGAAAAAGTATAGTCATTTTGAAAAAAAAGAATAAAAAATAAATTAGTTTTGTCGTCGTCGTTCAATAAATATTGGTGTTCGACTCTTTGATGAAGATCCACCATTTGCCTGTTCATTTTCTTCCACCATCTGTTGATTATCATCATTAATTTTAACATATAAACCTTCAACACTTTTACTTTTTTCGAAATTATTTCTATATGTTGTTGTTGAGCTATCCTTAATAGGCGTTAATGAATGAATTGATTGATTGTTATCAAGATCCAACGTCATAAAAGCAACAAACGAATTATTATCATATTTATTTGTAGAATTGGATGTTGATAATATTGAATCAACACTTGTTGAAAGAGGTTTTCGATTTAATAAATTCTTTTGTTGTTCCTTTTTTATTTGATTAGCAGCCATTGAATTATATTCATCAGTAATATTGTCAACAACTGGTTTCATAGTACCTTCTAATAAATTTCTATATGTTTCAATTTCTTGTTCTAATGACAATTGTTTACTTATAACATCTTCATAATCTTTAGTAATTTTTTCATGTTTTAATTTCCATTGATTGATTTGATTTTGTTGTGCTTGTTGAATACGTTCATTTTCATTTTCACTCATTTCAAGATTAATTTGTAATTCACGTAAATGTAATTTTAATTCTGAATTTTTTTGTTTTAATAAATCAGTATTTGATCGTATATGTTGAATTTCTGAACGTACATGTTCTTCTTCTTGTCTAATACGTTCTTGTTCACGTTCATTTAATAATAAACTTGCAAGTTTAGAATGTTGTCGAATTATATCTTCATATGATTGGGCAAATTTTTGATATAATTCATTGCGTTGTAAATCATTTTCTCTTTCACAATCTTGACGAATTCTTCTTATAGCATTTGCTAAATCAGATTTAAACATCAGTGCACGTTCATTTGTTGCATTGGGACTTAAAATAAATGATGATTGTTGAAGATCATTTAATTTTTGTTGTTGTTGTTCACGTAATCTACTTATATCAATACGTAATTGTTTTGATGCTTGTTCGCATGATGCACGTATTGAAATTTCATTATGAATTTCATTTTTTGCTTGTAATAAAAGACGTTGCATATGACTAATAAATTGTTTCCATTTTGCTTGTTGACTATCTTGATAAGCAAGACGACGATTATACATTTGAATATCACCTTCAATAGATGATAAGTGTCGTTCAATTTTGTCAGTTTCATATTTTGATGAATCGCATTCTTTAAAAGTTTGGCTAAGCTGTTGTTTTAATGGAAGAATGGAATTCTTAAGAAGAGAAAAAAAAGATTTTGACAATAAATTTCATACATATTCGAAAATTATAAAGCGAATAATATTATAGTAGATCATTCACTCAACATTTTTAATTTAAAGTATTATTAGAAAGATATACCAACCTGTGCATTTTGAGCAATACTAAATGAGTCATTTTTGTCTTTTAATAATTGTTCCGTTACTTCTTTTAATTGCGCAAATTCTGTTTCAAACATCGTTTTAATCTTTTGACAACTTTCACGTTGTTTTTCACTAAGAAGATTCGTATCAATCTGAATCTTTTTATTGTGCGCTTCGAAAAATCGAACTGTTTCAACATAATCAGCAAATTTATCATTTAATGTTGATAATTCAGATCTTTCTTTTTCTCGTTTTTGATTGAATAAAGATGGTTTTGAAACTGGAAATGTTGACGTACGAAACATTGATGAAGACATTAGATTTGAATGATTTCCAATGTTATTCGAATCTATTTGTGATTCTGAATGTTTTTCGACAGAAAAAGATGTATGTGTGTTGTTGCTGTTTGCTGATATTTGCAGAATAGAAGTGTCCGTGGATGAAGAGGATAATGACAATGTTCGAAACGACGGTAACCTACTCTTGAAAGCTGGCGTCGAGCATCGTGGTGGGTGGTGATCAAGAAGAAGGTTGCTCGATACTATACCTATTAGTGTAAAAAAAAAAAGAAGAAAAAAAGTAATATGAAAACGCTTTCTACACACATCTCGTTTGGAAGAATGTTAAAAGAAAGCGAATAGAATAAAAGACTTTAGTAAAGTAAATCTTTTCTGTTTCTTTTAGACATAAAAAACTCTAGTGGCATCCCTTGTTTTTGTCCTTGAAGCTGACATTTGTACAACGCGAGTGGAGAGAATAGTTGTTTACGGTTGTTTCTGTCTCTTAACATTTGTTATACCAACCAAAAAAAGGCGCTGTCTGTCACATTGTAGATAATATCCGCACTTATACATATGCAAACCTCAATAATAATATTACTTGTAGTATCATTGCTAATATCAACACTTGTTTCATCGTTACTAAATTCATTCATCATTGATATATAAACATTTAATCTAATTTCTACATATATATTAAGAATTCAATGACGATGAGTAATAGTATAACATCCAGTAACCTTTTGTTGGAATTAATTCTTCCATATGTTAGCAAATCTAGTCGCACTATTAGAGACTATATGTAAACGCACATGCACTTGATAGACTCGTCTTATCTATCGTTACTTTCTACACCTTTTTCTTTTTGTTGTGACTATACTTAAGACATCATTATCGATGACTACTCGCTTCACACCTAAATGCNCCCACACCCCCCCCCACACCCACCCACACCCTCACACCCACACTCACCCCCCACCCACACCCACACCCACACCCACACCCACACCCACACCCAACACAAGTGTATTCTATTTTTCTTCTTTCTACGACATAATTGAATCGTTATAATAATTCTTGGGTGGTATATAAAGGAAAGAATAGAAAATTACTATGAATTTTAACGCATGTTTAATTCGTTTCTATTATAGAGTAGATTTATTTATTTCTTTTTCTCTCCATCGATCGAAATAAAATCCATTAAATTATATTAGTGAAATAGTTCCATACTTTAATTGACTATAGAATGGTACAATGAAAGGAAAAGGTTTTGTTAAAATATCTTAAAATGATCTGTAATGAATTTAAACATATGTTCGAATCAGGGTTGCCACCTTTTGAAGTTCGAAAAGCAGGAAATAGCCTACAAAAAGCAGAAAATGACAGAAGTTTTATTGTGAAAAAGTAGAAACAAAAGCAGAAAGTGTATTTCTGCTGCGAAACAATCTTTTAAGCTTTGACTTAATGAAATCACAAAGAATTTCACGCCAATTTTCCATCGTGATTGTACAAAATCAAGAAAAAACCTAGTTGAACACAAAAATAGAATTATTGGATTCGTTTTCTTTTGAATGTGCATTTTACATCTGATTTAATAGCTTTCAAAAAATCTTCGTTGCACAATATATGTTTATACAGCACTCGCAAAAAGTTTCAGGATACTCGAAAAAAGTTCTCCAACACTTTATGTTTAAGTTGAATCTGAAAATAAGCATATGTTTGGCATTATTATTAACCAACGTTTCATATCTTATTGAATGAATGAATCTTCGCAATTTGAGATCAAGAGAAAAGTATCAAACATAAAATATCCAACGGCTAAAAGTTCTGTAACAAATCTCGTTCTTTTCACCTATTGACTTTCCTTCACTTTCAAATACTATGAGTGGAAAGAGTTTGAAAAGCTGACTACAGTAGATATGTATTCGTTTAACATATTATAGTAGTCAGATGTTTTTCGTAACGAGGTTTTCCGCTACAAAAATGCTAAAAATATACCGTGAAAGAGGACAAATCATGTCGTAATTTTTGCTTGTTTTGAAGAGCAGAATAAATTCGACAAAAGAACTCATTTAGTGGACTCTCAAATATCAAAGAAATGCACTGGATGATAGAGAAAAACAAAAGTCGATCCTACTGCTTTTTTTCACGTAAAAATAGCTAAAATATTTTAAAATTTTAGATTTCTATTTTGTCTAGATTGTGGTACATTGCTTAATGTAACACAAAGTCCAAAAATGTATAGTTTTGCTATATTTATCTTGCTCTTCTACACAAGCAGAAAAGATGTAATTTCTCCTATTTCACAGTAGTTTCTTAACAGTTTCTTTTAGCTCGCTAGCATTTTTACAGCGGAAAACCTCGTTAAGAAAAACATCTGCCTACTATAATTTACAATATGAAAACATCTATGATAGTCAATCTTTCAAGCTTTTTCCATTGACACTGTCTGAAATCGAAGAAAAGTTAATGGCTGAATAAAAAGATACTTGTTCAAGAACTTTCTGTCGTTGGATACTTTATTTTCGATACTATTTTTGTGACATCAAATAGCAATGATTCGTTTGGTCAATAAAATATGGCATGTTGCTCAAGAATAGTGCCAAACATATTCTTTACTTTCACAGTCAACTTAAACTTAAAGTATTCGGAAACTGTTGCCGACTTGATCAGAACTATTTGGTAGGGTTGTAGATTGGCAGTTTTTTGCAGTCAGCGAAAAACAAGAATTTTTCTTCTCATTTTGAAAAATTGATGCAATATAATATACAAAATGCTAGTTAAAAATATAATAGCTAAGATATGCGAAAAAGCAGAAAATAGCAGAAAGGACAGAAAAAAAGCAGAATTTTTCTGCTAAAAGCAGAAGAGGTGGCAACTCTGATTTGAATCTAAATTACATATTTTTGTAGAACGTGCTGTGCAGTACGGTACAACTCATTTCTTAATTTAGTTATTTAAAAATCGACGAAAAATATTCAATATGTTTATGTATGTTAGACCGAAAGAACCAAAACAGTTTGTTTTTTTCTTTCTATTTTTTATCATTATCGATCATTTATTTATTTTATTTTCTAAAAACAAAATTAAAAACTAATATCAAGATTTTCATGGATTTATTTTTCTTTGTCGTGCCTTTTTGTTTTTCTCTTTTTAAAAAGCAAAAAAAGTTGATTAAACATTTTCAACAATGAAATAATAAAACAAAAAACAAAAAAGGTCCTTCTATGTCTTTTATACATCGTTATCAATTCAATAAAAGATTTCATAGATTTAGGTAGACCATGATAACAAGAAAAAATGATTAATGATGTATGACATATTAATATCGGAGAAGCACTCAATTACATTCTTAAAATAGCGATAAACAGAAGCTTTCAAGAGGAGTCAAAAAATATTCTAGATTCTTACATTCTCTCAATAGCATATCCCAACAATTTACATTAAAATGGAAAGGATAAATCTGAACATTCAAGGTTGTAAGATTCATTTTGGCAGATTGCAACCATAGGATGACATGAAAGAAAACGATATGGTGGTTGACATCTGACAAAACATTTTCTCTTCTAGTTGAGACCGATTTACATTGACATTTTCGTCTCATTCCATTGAGTCTTTCTCTAAAAAACCTTAAATAATCCCTGAAACCTGCCATATAACAACAATGCTTAAATATTACGCCTTTCTAGTAGACGAGAATGTTAACCGGGTAAAAAGTCTTATATACCAGATGATAGAGCAAGAGACGTTGTTGAATATCTGATATGACACTATTCACCCAAATTCAGCAAAGGATTGTTATTTAAAGATCAAGTTTTCGTAGTGGCCAATCCGCTGTCTTCTCAATAAAAAAAAATTCTTTTTAAAACTGAACTTTTACATTTATATATGATTCGACAAAGCTGAACGCGAGTTGTCACAATAAATATTGATTGTTGGTTTTTCATTGTAAAATAAAGGAGAAAATATTATCGGACTGTTTTCCAAAAAATCAGGATTTTTCAGTTTTACCGTATTTTATGCTAACATCAATTAATCATATTTAGGCTTGTTTGAAACCTAACTGCATGCAAACCTATTATAATTTACCATCAAAATCAATCAGGTTGTGACACATGTGAAACCCTCAAGTTCCAGTTAATTCTGAGAAAGTCATGTATAAAGTGGTATGTTTAACATGGATTCATTCTATTATAAAGTGTATGAAGAAAATTAGACATATTGAAAATTAAAAAATAACATTCTCAAGTGAAAATAACTGATACATAGTTTTATCTGATTGATTGACCTACATACTTCTTTATATAAAAGCATCTTTTGTGAAAATAATTGATCGTCAATGATTGGTTCTCATTTAGACAATGCCCATCAATCGATCATAACCGTTCACATATTTATATCTGTGTATGTCTGTCCTAATCTCAGTCGGACACATATCAATAATGAATTGTTTGTCAAGTATGAGTATATAACTATTTCACAATATCATTTATTTATTTTTATTATTATCTACAGAAAGCAATGCTCAACTGCTCAATTTACCTGATGAATTAATTTTAATTATTATGAATAAAGTTAAACCTAAAGTATTATTGCTTTGTTCTATTATAACAATTGGTAATAGTCGTTTGGAAGAACTTGCACTTGATAAATGTCATTCAATTGATTTAACTTTTGATTATTTTCAATCATCACATGAAATATTTATTCAACGATTTTATTCACATGTCATGCCTCGTATTAGCAATTGTATTCGATCATTAATACTCAACATTGAACATCTTCCAAAAATGATTAGTTTTGCTGAAAATGAGTGTAATGGATTTCTTCCAAATTTGACACATTTGAAAATCATACTTAATAAACAAAGTCGTGAAACAGGGACATCTTATGGATTAGGTAAATTCTTATTAAGTTATATTTAAATCTCACTGCAGTTCTTTTTTTTTCACAGTAAATAAGAAAAATTTGATATCAATTTATAGCGAGTAGAGAATCTGACCGTAGACTGCACCAGAGCAGTTGAGAAAAACAGGTCTTTCGGCGAAATTTGTGAATATCCTAACTCATACATATTCAGAACCTGAAGAAACTTTTTTTGTTTGTCCTCCATGGTGTTGAGAAGCTCCAGCAGATTCTACACACCCGCTAGTTTAGTTTAAACATTAATCACACTGCTCTCGTTCTTATGTATTGCCGTGTGTATATAAACTATATCATCAATTTGATTAATATATTTAAAGTGAACTATATAGTAGCGAAATTTTTTTTATTTACAAACCATTTTCTAGTATCTTATACAAAAGAAATCCATAGATTACTTTTCTATGTAGAATTATTATACAGTTGAAAGGAATGTTTGAAAAACTTACGAAAGTTTGTCTGGCAAAAATGATAGTTAAGAAAAATATGAAAAAGTCTTCTGATCGAAATAATATTTTCAGAAATGAGAAAATTAGATTGAAAAAAGTTTCATTAGTAACATTTGTATACATATTTTATTAGGCATTCATCTTTATAATGTTTTACATGTTAATCCTTTATTCTCATTTATACCTCAATTTGTTCGTGTGAAGAATTTTGTTGGTGGTAAAAGCTTGTTTAATTTGCGTTATTCATCATTTATGCGTTCTATTGTATGGTTTGAACTTGATGATGACTGCATTTTACCAAATGTATTTAATGATGATAGATTATTTTTTCCGCAATCAATTCAATTGACTCATATTCGAATAACATTATATGAGTTTCCTGATTGTGTTCATTTATTAAATCAAATGGGCACACAAATCTGTTCATTTAGTGTGACTATTCTATGTGTTGATAGAAGTGAAGTTGATATTATTTCTAAAATAAGATCGGTAGGTAATATTTAATTTGAAATTTCTTTTTATTTATATATTTAGATTTCGTGTCTCTATTTGAAACAATTTGCAATGACAATCTATCGCAATATCATTGAGTATGAACGATGTATTGTTCCTCTTCTACAACGTTTATCAAATGTCGAATATTTAACATTATTATTAGCTATTGGTTTCACAGGAAATAGACCAGATCATTTTATTGATGGATTTGATTTGAAGAAAGACATTATTTCATATATGCATCATTTACGTCAATTTAATTTTCACATTCGTTCTATATTACAAAATGCGCCTCGTATGAATATTGACACAATTCGTCAAAGTTTTATAAAACACCAACAATCTGTCGATTGTTCAATTGAATATTTTAATAATAATTATGGTCAATGTCATATATACTCTCTTCCATTTATTGGTACTCGTCTTGATTTCATTTCAAATCGATTTCCACTCTTTGATACAAATAACACATTCTCAATGGTTACCATTTTAATACTTTATGATGATGTTAAACCATTTGAAAATGTTTTCTTTGAACATCTTGTTCGAGCTCTACCTCATCTTAAATCACTTGAAATAGTGAATGAACTTGAACAACAAGAAAAAACAATATCGATAACAAATAAACTTGAATATGCTCATTTAACTTCATTGATGCTATTCAAGATTCATATGGATTATGCCGAACAACTTCTTTGTCGAACTAATCTTCCTTCTTTAAATGAACTTATCATTCATAATAATATATTATTAACAATAATTAATCAAAATCAACAACAAGCAAGAGAAAATTGTTTTAGAGTGAAAACATTACGAACTTCTCATCCGTTGGATGGATTAGTAAATGTTGTTCGAAACTTTTTCCCGTCGGGTTCTTATATAAAATATCCAAGTGTAGGATAAAAATAAAACAAAATCATTTGTATAAAAGTGTTACAGAGGCCCTCACTGTAACGTAGATCAATAGAAGATAGAAAATTTATTTTCTTCGTAACCAACAACAACAACACTAAGGGTGTGGGTGTGGGTGTCAGTGTTGGTGTGAGAAAGGAGTTAGGCAAGGCTCATACCCACATCCAAGACCCACACCCAATATCCCTTTAAGATCATCCTTCACAAAACAAAAACTTTACAATAGCTTTATTTTTGTTTGATGTTTATCAAATGCGTCTGTATTTATTTCTATTTTTGATACATGTATCTAATGAACTGTTATTGAATAAAAAAGGAGTGGTATCTTTGAACAAGCAACATCCAGTAACCTTTTGTTGGAATTAATTCTTCCATATGTTAGCAAATCTAGTCGCACTATTAGAGACTATATGTAAACGCACATGCACTTGATAGACTCGTCTTATCTATCGTTACTTTCTACACCTTTTTCTTTTTGTTGTGACTATACTTAAGACATCATTATCGATGACTACTCGCTTCACACCTAAATGCGAGACAAAAAAGTTCGGCTTACGTTGTTTTTTGTTATTTATATAATCCGAGGAAAGCAGTTGCAGTGTTGCTTTAGCAGAGTATTATAATAAGATCTTAATGTCGAGGATACTTAAAAAAGTGACATAGGTAGATGTTAGTTCTCTTCGAAATGCGAGATCACTGTGTTTCTTTGATGTTGTTGAACACTAAAGAGAGAAGTAAATTTAATAGTCGAGCTAAAAAGTTATGAGAGAAAGAACATCAATTATTCTTCTGTTGAAGGTACTATGCGTATGAGTTCGAATTGTTTTTCGATGCTTTTGCTTGATAAATTGATATTGAAAAGTGTATGATCGAACAACCAATGTGATAGATATCAATGAAAAAATATATGAATATGTAATAAAAACATGAAAAAACAAAGATAAACTTTGATAAATCAATCTTATCAACTTATTTACTAAGAACTGTTCGTAATTTCAAGAGGAATAAAATTTTTCAAAGAATCATCGAATCAGAAAAAAAGCAATAAGTATTTCAAATTGCTTTTATATAAAATTAAGATATTTTATTATTAGTCATAAGACCAATCATTTTATAAGTTAATATAAATTGTTTAAATGTAATTAACCAAATACATCATTGATAATATTGGATAAAGTATTTTGTAAATATATATTGTTTGATTTCAGGAAATACTGTTAATAAAAAGGTCTTTTGCTCAAATATAAACATATCATGTAACTAGGGAATTGTTGATAATATTGTTTATGTTCGAGGGAATGGCATGAACAATTTATGTTTTTTTTCTATTAAACTATTACTCAGATGCATTGTAAATACATTATTTTACCTCTTATCAACACTACACAAAGATCAATTGATTCTATTATTTATTTTTAATTTAATCACAAATTTTATTCATAAATTTTACATAGAGTGCTTTCTCAGTGAAAAATATAAATCAATCAAGACATAATATCTATTGAAAAGAGAAGTTGAAATCGTACAAGTCATTTTTTTTAAATTGAAAAAAACTTGTATAGCAAGTATCTGCTATAGTTTCATATGTTTGTTTTTGTTTTATTATACAAAATGAGAAAAAAATACATTATATATATATTTTTTTTTTCATGATTACCATAAAAATTCTTTATAATGAAATCAATCGATGTATTACTGATCTTTTTCGTTGTATCGATCATTAATGTATCATGTTCTCATTTTCGTGGATCAATGGTCACATGGCGTGTCATAAACTCAACATCAAATCCACTCGTTGTCGAAATACTTCAACGACATGCATGGAATTATACATGGTGGCCATGTACAAATACTCAAATATCTGCTGGAAATTATATGATTGGTTCTGGAACTATTGTTTGTCCCTCGTCTTGTCCACCAAATATTAGTACAATCAATTCAGTGACTGTTCCGTGTACTGGATATAATCAAATTGAAAGTTATGTAAGTGGTGAAGGACGATTTACTTTTCGTGTTCCACCAAATTATCGATTTCGAGCTGTATTTAATAATTCAGCATGGTTTTCGTTGGTTACTGGTGGAGGAGCTTGGTCTGTAGCAACAGAGATTAATACTTATATACGATCGAATGGACGATATAATCAAGCACCTATTGTAACTATGTTACCGGTTATTCGACTTCGTCGTTATCTTATTTATAATATTAAAATAAATGTTGCAGATAATGATTTTGATCGATACATGTGTATATGGTCAAATTCAAGTCAAGAATGTGGTGGTGTATGTCGATCTACACTTAGTTTACCTGCTTCGACATTTCTCAATGAGACAAGTTGCATTCTTCATTTTGTACCAGCTACGATTGGTTTTTATGCTGTGGCATTCACTGTACTTGATTTTGAAAATGGCACAAGTACCACACCTCTCTCACGTGTACCTATTCAATTTATTTTCAATGTTTGGGATTCAAATGTAACATGTTCTTTAAAACCAACTTATATCGGTGACGCATCTGCTGATGAATGTATTTTTGTTGAGCCTGGTCAAAATATTACAGTACTCATTCGAATCAAGATCCAATGTCCTAACGCCACATTAGCTAATGTAATTGGTGTCTATCCATCCGGATTTATACAATCATCAACATTTACTGATTCATATGATCCAACTATCAATATTTTTAAAGTCTCCTATACAGGTAATGCAAATCAAGTAGGTCAAAATTTATTTTGTTTTGCTGGTGTTGATTCAATTGGTAATCAAGGTGACTCAACTTGTCTCCGTTTTACAGTGCAATTAGCTGCAGAAAGTCGTAATACCCTCTATGTTAACAACGCAACTCGTTTTCCGAGCGGTCTTGTATCAAAATATCAATCAAATTGGACATTACTTTATCCAACAGGAACAACATTTGTACGACCAACTACTGATGCTTTTATTCGTTTTAAAATCACGTCGACTCAACAAGATTTTGTTAAATATAATGTGGTAAAACAAACAACCAATGTGAATTATCTTTCAGATCGTTTGATTATTTTATCAAATGTTGTCTTTAGTCCCGGAGAATATTATTATATTTCAATTGATCCAGGTGTATTTTTACCTATAGCAACTTGTTTACGAGATTCAATGGGAATAACAGATAAGACTTTTTGGCCATTTAATACGGCATCTGAACCAAATACAACAATAACAACAAGTACTACATCACAATCATCGACAACAACTTTATTCAATCGAACAGTGAGTATTTAGCTTTAGCTGTTTTCGTCATAATTGACTTATTTACACAGGTACCAACATTAAGAACAATTACAACTAAAATTACAGAAACAACGCAAACAAAGACAACGACTCGTTTAACTACAATAACCAGTTTATCAACAACAACAAAACAAATTCATGCAATATCATCATTTCCCATCAGTGGTATCGTTGGTATTATAGTTGGTTCATTGATATTAATTACATTGATTAGTTTTTTGATTATTCAATTCAAAAGACGTGCTCCAGCTAATCTATCTGCCGATTCTAATATCACCCTAACAACGAAAAAACCCATGTCCGATACTATTCCTCAATATTTAATAGCAACTCGTAAAAACGTTCAAGCAGCTCGTAGATCTGTTGCTTACATAACCAGCACTTCTTTATCTTTCAATTCAGAAACTCAGCAAACTCTTGTTTCTATCGAATGTTAAAAAACTATGTTTCATTTATTTTTATTAATAAATATATGCTTCAGACGTCACTCATATATAATCATATTGAATGCATTGATATGTATTTGATTATTCCTATCCACAAACGAATAAAATATCTAACACTATGCTACTCATTCTGTGTATTAAAAAGCTTTAGATTGATAGTAAAGATAATCAAGTATTCGAAAAAATTTATCAAACCTAAATCACATTCAAAAATGACACGAAAAAAAGAAAAAACAAGCAAGTCTTGATAAAATTTCTAAACAAGAAAAAAATTTCACCAAAAAATTATATTTAATACATCGTTATAAAAGAATCCTTCAGTTTATCAAAAACATCAATCACAACCAAAAAAGCATTCGCAAATCTCAACAATGAAAACTGATATTAACGAAGATATGGATAATGATGATCTTATTTTATCATTAGATATGCTCTTTGAACCAAGAAAATGAACAAATCTATCTTCAACTAGGTGATAATGAACATATTAAGTCATACGAATTTTTGCAACATTCATCATTTAATGATTCGAATCAACAATGACCATTATTATTAGAGGTGTAATCCGATGCATTGATCGACGGCAGCAAGTGTAAAGTTCAAAACTGAAAAATCCTTTCGAGAATATCAAATATGTTTAATTCAATATCTTAGTACTGACATCTTCCAAAAACTGTATAAAAACAACTGTATTTTATAGCTTGGGTTTATAAATACAACACATACAAATGAAATCAAAATATGTAACAAACTCCAAAAAATACATTCATCAAAACGTAATATGAAGGAAACAAAAGAAGAAAACAAAACTGTAGATTATTTTGATTAAATTATTATTATCATCGTTGATCTGTATCTTTCCATCACTTCCTGAGTATAACATTGTCCTTTTAGCGTTGATAATTTACCTGTTATTGAAAATACTTGTTTACTGGAAGTGGTTGGAACTGCAAAGACAGTTTGATCAAGAGCTGTCGAAAGAGAATATATGTCGTTTGATGATGACCCGAATCGAAGTACATCATCACAATTAATTTAAAATTTTAAACGATTATCTACTTCATCGATAACAGGATCAAAATAAGACATTAGAATCTGGGTATATTTTGGGGATGGATATCACTGTTTGGTTTCTAATGAGGATATGACTGTGGACAAGGCCTCTATTCCATCCATACTTACACCTTTTTGGTAAATGTTAACATATCAAAAATTCAAATCCAGAAAACTTCACTGCCAATTGCAATAATTGACAACAAATGTTCAAAATACTGCATACTC